TATCCAAAATGTTGAAAAGTATCAATTTTTAGCTGCGGTTGGATTCGAGAGTGTTTCGGAGTGCTTTTTGGCAGCACAGCACATTGCACAATCCCATGGGGCCGGTGTGTGCGTGCCACAAATTAAAAACCGCTGCAATAATGGAATAATAAATCAGCATAAATATTTTCAACGAAGAGAGAGAGAGAGAGAGAGAGAGAGGGGCAAAGAAAAGGCGGGGAGAGTACAATATCTGCGAGGAAAACGAAGACTAAAAAGCAGACATCAAAATGCATTTCGCATTTCCTTCCGTTTTGTCGTTTTCTTTTCGTTTGGCAACGCATTTGGAAATTTGGAGCAATTAAATGGCCAAGCATTTACACTTGACTGGAACGTGATGTGGATGATGTCTTCCTGAAGCAGGGAAATATCCAGCTTTCAGCGATAGTTCGATATGTGTTAGATACCCCTACCCATACAGACCTGTTGTGTCGCCCACCATTTAACCTACAAAAGCCTTGCCGTTGCCTCATCGATGGAAAACACTCGCACTTCAAAGGCGGCGGCGCCGCGAACCCCTGGAAAGCGATTTAGATTGGGATCAAGACGCGGCTCTTGCTCTGGCTCTGTCTGCTCCAACTTGCTCCAATTTGCCACCCGGAAGATATTTCAAATATGCTGCCGACACTCTACACTCGATCTTTTCGTTTTTGGTCTCACTTTTATTGCAGCCTCAATTATGCTGTGCTGTGCTTTGCTCTGCTCTGCTCTGCCGTGCTGTGCAGTGTGTGGTGGCATTCTTTTGTTGTATCTTTTCTGGTTTATGGCTAAATTGTGTCTGCTTTTTCTGCGGCCAAGGTATCTGTGGAATACGTGGCGACCGAAAAGTGAAAGAAGCTGACCTAATAACTAGCAGAGGGCTGGCTCTAGTCTCTTACTAAGTAATAGTGGACGTACCTCCCTTCTCTATTTTTTGGGGGAACATTTTCAAGTATTAGCTTTGTTTAAGTTTGGTAGATTGGCGAGGAATTCACGACGATTTGCATCAATGATCCGCTGGTACCAATTTGCATCGCTTGGAGGCTCATTGACCAATGGCCTGGGAGGCAGCAGTCCCGACTCGGGCACCTCAACTTGTGGCGCCTTCTCTGCGTTGTTGGTCTTGGCTCTGTTGTACTTTGGATTTGAGTTTGCCGCGGGTTCTTCGGTTGTGGCCTTGATGGGATCCGTGTCCGCGGGTAGCATAAAGATGGGAAAACGATTGGGTATCACATTTTGAACCGGCTGGAAGGGAGTTCCCTCTTTGGTCTTGTTGTTTAGGGGGGCCTTGCCCTGGACCACGTCGAGAACGGCAGGCTTTAGGACATCTTTGGCGACGTCGATGTGGTTCAGGTCGAGACCATGCTGCTCCTTCAGCTGCTTGGCCACGTCGGCAGCCACATGGGAGACGCTCACATTGAGGTGACTCTTGGGATCCCATGTCACATTGGTCGGCGACTGCACCTTTTGTCTATCCGCAATTATCTCTGGACGTTGGGTGGGCCACACCGTCTTTGCTTGTTCATCTCCAGGTTGGAAGCTCTGCGTCTGAGCCAGGAAGCCCCCATTCTCATCGGCCCGGTACTTGGTGACCTCGATGAGGCCGTCGGGCCGCACATACCCGTAGCTACCCTGGACACTGCCATTCACAAAACGTCGCTCATCGCGAAACTGAATGTTCTGCGTCTGCGGATCATCGATCTCATAGCCAAAGGCATATGTGTTGGGTCCTGAAACACATACAATTAATGGAAATTGGATAAAGGCCTAGACTCTATAGCCTACCGTATGGCTCGTGCAGAAAATAGTTAGTTACTTTCGCTTTTCTGCCTGCATTTTTCGCTGCTGTCTTTGAATATGCTTCACTTTTGGCAGGCAATGGGTTGGCCAACGTAGCGTATACTTTTATGATTAGTACGAATAACTGTGAATAGACGAATGATTTGTAGCATATATTTAGGAGATGGAAAGCCTCGAGCATGGAGAGCTTAATAAGTGGATTTTTTCAACTGCAGAGCTTTGGTATTCCATCCATGGTGTAACGTTTGAAAGTGCTTCAGTTTTACTGGGATTACAGGGTACTTTTATACCCGGTACTCAGTTAGTATCAGTCAGTATATGTACATATTGTGTCTACATATGTGAGCTTATGGTTTAGGAAATATTATTATTATGCCTAAGCGCCAGAGTGGGTTTCGCAGCCTATTCTCTTTCTGTCTTTTATATTCGCTGATCGCAAAAGCGATGAATTGATTTTTGGGTTAATGCCGGTAGGGGGAGCCCTCCGCATTCTCTAGCAATTTTTCTGAGAGCTGGGAACAAAATAGAGGGAAAGGGAGGAACCACGACCGCTAGTCTATCCCCGTTCTACCAATGACATATTTGATTATAATTTTAGAATATTTTATTCATTTCATTTCCCTACTTTTTTATTTCGCCAAACGGTGCTCTCTCTCTCACTCTCCGCCAAGGGGCGCACACTGCACGAGGAAGTGTGTGAGAGGGAGAGGGAATGAGTAAGCGCGTGAAATGGGTTGCGTAGCCATTGATATATTATTTGTTCTTTCTGGCTATAATTACGATCCGATCTAAACCAAATTGGGCACTTTGCTAGTTATGGAAACTTTCAATGATTCTGCCATTTTGGCAGATCGATTTTTTAAATTCTCTGGCAACAGTGTGGAGGAGGAGTCTGCAAAAAAAATTTGGTTTCTCTAGCTCTTTTGGTCTCTGAGATCTCATCAAGACAAACAGACAAACATGCTCAGAAATACATATATGTATACACTTTGTGGTCGGAAACGCTTCCTTCTGGGTGTTGCACACATCCATATCCACCACAAAACTAATAGCTCCTTGCTCTTTGAATACCGGGTACTCTTTTGCATTGTCATATATTTCTCTCATTTATCACTAATTTGATTGCCAATTGATTTTTAATCTTTTCAAGTTTAAAACAGGCATCCTTTGCTCATTTTTGTAAAGAAATAAGCAACATTAGCACTCGTTTTCTTCATCCGCACCGCATGAATTCTTGTCTGATGAACAAATCTAAAATATTTCTTATTGATTTCGCTATTCCAACGCACTTACAATGAACCAAAACAAACTGGTCAAAGATCCCATGCTGAATATTAATGATCTGCGCAGATAGTTATTCTTATAAGTCACATTTATTTCGTTGTGTTGGCCAGCTCTGGACTTCCGCGTACTTTCGATGGCTCCGACAGACTGAAGAGCCGAGAACCCAACGCTGAATGGAATGGAGAGGCGAGGCCTGAGGCCTGAGACCTGAGACCTTCTTTCGAGCCTGAGTGCGAATCCCCATTAGAAATACTCCACCAGAATGCTAAGTGTTCCCTCTGCTGCTCTGCTCCCCAGTATTGTAGAGGTAATAATTATGGCCCATCCATGCTAATCTTCGTGACCTTCAATGGTAAAGAAGAAAATCTTTTATAGAAGTTTTTTTTAAATATGATTTTTATTTAATTTTTTTTTCGCTTTTTCTATACATTTTACAATTTCCATAAAAACGTTTTTGCATTGCGTTCGCTGTTGCTGTTGCTGTTGTTGCACACAAATGCTTATGTGGGAATATATAGTACATAAGTGTAAGGCCCAAATGAACCTTTGAGACGTGAGAGACATGTGAGAGTTGGTTGGTTTTTTTCGCGTTTTTTCCTTCTGTTTTCATCGATCGTTTTTGCCGCTGCCTTAGCGTAGGCCTACAGATTGAGTACAAAGATCGTTTCTTTTTTTGTGTGGATTTTTCCTATGTTTTTCGTTGTGGTTTTTCTTGTTTAAAATTAAGCTGCATAATTGTTTATAAATACACAATAGATGTGAAAAAAATACTAAATGCAAAAAATGAAACTAGATACAAAAGTGTCAGACTGAGAGTGAGTGAGACAGACAGAGAGACATGAGACAGTGGGAGACAGAGAGAGTGAAGGAGTGAGATATGGTGAGGCGGCGTCAGTGAGAGTGAGTGAGTCAGTGAGAGTGAGATTAAGAAGAAATAGAGACAGAATGAGTTCGTTTGGATAACAATTAATTAGGAGATAGAATTCTGAGGGGTTGGGGGGCAGTACTACTACTACTAATGCACAATTACCGGCCCATCGGTTTACATCGGGTTCCATCGGGGGGTTCTCCATCAATCCATCAACCTGTCGTATTCACACAAATGTATCCCGAGTGAACTGAGGCTGAGTATCAGTTCCTGTCAAACCGTTCCCCCATCCCGCAATGGCACAAGGTTCTCTGAAGAAGTGAGAGCTAGCACGCCCCAGGGCACATGGTAAGCGGGGCGTGGCAGTTTGGGGATAAAGGGGGTCACAGTTTGACGGACACCACAAAGGCTTGGAGAGCACACAGAAAATAAAAAGAATAAGAGACAGAGAGAGATAGAGAGAGAATGGTAGAGTGGTAGAGAGAAAGAGAAAGGGGGAAAGGAGAGCGCACAGCACATAAATATATTACAAAAGGTAGAGCTTTGAAAAATAGATGGAACCGAGTATATGCTATAAATAGGTTTCTATGTACAGATCAGGGGCGGGACAGAGTAGAGGCCTTTGCTCTTGGTTTTTTCGTCCAACTCTCAGTTCTGGGCAATAGCTCTGTGCAATAGTCTGCTGGGGGGAAATCGGTTCTGGTTAACGTTAATCATATATTATATAGTACATATCATATAAGAAAACTGGTCCTCCGTTTGTGAGTAGAGCTGCCGTTCTTCGCCAAAAAAAAACATTGTTATCCATCATTCAATATACCTCTTCTGTGATCTGTGATCAAGTCATTCCGAATGCCAAGTCGTTATGAAATTTCTTCTCGGTTTTTCCTCTTCTGGGTATCGTTTTTCTTATCGTTTTTCCTTCGTCCATGCCATGCCAGGATCAGCCGGGTGCCGGGACGCCCTCGAAGGCGGTCCCGTGTTCTACTAAACTCTTAGCTACACTTACTTTTTACATTTTTGTGTGATTTGATTTTTTTTTTGTGGTTTTTCTTTTCTTTTCTTGTGGTTCCTATGATTCTGCTGTGGTTGCTGTTCTTGCGGATGGATGAGAGATAGAGCACCTGTGCGACTGGTCCAGCTACCGCTTAGTAGTGGTGCAGCAGGGGGGCGTGCGCCAGGATGGGGGCGTGCACAACGGGTGCATGGTGGATGATCTTGGGGGCGGTCTTGTGGACGACGGCGTTGAAGCCATTGTGGTCGTCGGCGGTGTAGTCGACGGTGCGCACAGAGCCATCGGGCTCAACCAGAGAGTACTGGCCTGTGAATGGAAGAATCATACGAATCTATTTAGTTTCAGATCCATCAGATCAGAAGGCAAGTTCGTGTCCTCAGTCTTTCGTTTATTTCAAATAAAAATCAAGTTTATTGCCAAAGTGCTTTGTTATGTGGCTCAAAAATGTTCGTATCCCTCCAAAATATGTATCAGAGAGAAAAACTCACCCTTCACAACATCACCATCACGCTCCTCGGCCTGCGACTTGATGTCGCCAGTGTGGGGATCCTTGATGCCATAGTTGAAGGAGTATTTGGGGTAGGCCACAGGCTCGGCATGGACGGCATGGGCCAGTACGGGCGCATGATGCACCAGCGCGGGGCCATAGTGGCCCAGCTCAATGGGGATGGCCTGGGCGGCGGCGAACAGCAGAGCGATGGCAATGAAGTACTGTATGGGTGGGAGAGAATCAGGATCAGGATCAGGGCGGATGTTTCACTTTGAAAAAATACTGGGGCCTGGGCGCTGTCATGGGGGGGAGGGTGGAAAAAAAACACACCTTCATGTTGGGTTAGAGCACAAAAAGACAAAAAAATGGACACACGACGCGAACACGTAGCTATCGAGGACGAAGGACTTGGCGATGGTTCCTTGTGGACTGTTGGGCACTGAGGCTGACTGTAAGGAGTTTGTCTGCTCGAGAGTGGAGGACCGTGAATAGCACGAATTCGTAAGCTGAACTGATGTCTGCAACGATGACCAAAAGTATTTATATACGCGTCGGACGCCGAGTGCAACACGACTTGGTCGACAGCGACGACGACGACGCCGACAGCAGCAGCAGCAGCAAGAGATCGGTGCTGCAGCTGCCACGGATCGGGCCGGGTGGGGGAGGAGGCACAGCCAGCCAGCCATCAGTTGCAGCCGCAGCCACAGCCACAGCTACAGCGACAGCGAGGTGCTGCAGTGCAGAGCCGTGTGGCAGGGCAGCCATACCACGCATGTGCCACAACAATGATCCCCAGCTCAATCGCTAGGTGCGGCATTTGTTTGGAGAAGGCGTTTGGTGACTTAGTTTTTCCATAGGTACTCTTGGGCCTATCTACCCCGAGGAGCGAGGCGGGGGGCGGGGGGCGGGGGGCGCAGTCATTGAAAGCGACACTTTTGCATTGGCTCTAATGATCTAAGCTCTTTATTTATTGATTTGCCGACATAATTACGATCGGGTTTAGTCTCTTTGGCTCTGGCTGCTTTCTGGTTTTGCACGACTTGGCCAAAAAAAATTATTATTACCATATCTGTGGCAATCAAACGGGGCGTCGTTATAATTACCACGCCAACAACAACAACAACAGCAGCAACACAACGAGCCACAACAAAAAACTCGAGCCGCAACTTGCGTATTTTTCATGCCACGCAATTTGTTGCCTGACATTTTTGTGCCCGACTTCGGTTTATTACTGCCACAATCGGGAGAACTTTGTCCGGGGAGAGCTGTGTGTGTGCCAGAGGAATTTTCGGTGTTGGCAAATAGTTTGACTCGAATCAAATGCTGCTCAATCAATATTCTCGCTGTGGCATGGGACAAATTCGTATGGAGAACGAAAGGCAAATGTTGTGAGATGAGAAATGATAGATGCTGATGGAATTTCGTTGAGAGATACTCTTATGATGATATAATATAATCAACAATTATTGCTGATACTCTCTCTGCCTTGAGCTCTGCTCTGGCTTCAACCTCTCAAGACATCCTCTTATTATATTGAATGATTAGCTAAGAATGATCGTAGATACTTCAGTGATGGGAGTTTCTACCCGCAGGAGAGGTTCTGTCCTGTTCTGTTTAAGCTCCAATGACATCTTAGCAGTCATTCGTTGACACTTTATCTTAGAGAGTTTTAGGCAACACCCACGACAAGCTCTAAAAAAGCAGCAACAAAAACCAACCCAAACAAACAATTCTGCCATGACATATCAGAAAATTATGATTGTATCTTATAAAACACACACAAGTGCCCATTAAATGGTGAGGCTCGGGGAACTCGCGGCCCAGCCAGCAGTACAGAAGTGCAGACTATGGGAAAAAACTGGATGTTTGTCTTGTGGCGGCGGCAGTGGAGGTGCAAAATGAGTTGGCCAGAAACGAAGCGAAACTAAACGAAACGAAACAAGCCAAAAGTGGTCACAAATCGCACTATAAAAGATCTGTGGATAGAGCCTGGCTCTATGTCTGGGCCTGGCCATTAGCATGTGGCATGGAGATGGAGATGGAGATGGAGAGCGAAGACAAAGACACAGAATCGACTTACATAAAATGGCTTTAAAGGCGACACATTTACACGGCTGGCCGAAAATCGCTCGAAAACAATTGTGGCCGAAAATGCAAACAGTCACAGTCACAGCCACCGCCACCGCCAGAAAAACCTCCGACTCGTTAGAGGCGGAGGAGCGGGCAGGCTGGGAAACAAGTTGGCCACGTCACGATCGCACTTTGACAGAGAGCCAGCCAAAGAGCCAGCCAGCCAGCCAGGAGTTGGAGTTGGCCCAAAAGCAGCGGCGGGCAGAGAGCGGGCTCCAGGGGCAGAGCTTAGGAGCTCCCCTTAGGAGCTGGGTTTAGTTGGTTAGTTGGTTAGTTGGTCAGCGGACAAGACAGTTGGAAAACCGAAATGACTTCAACAAGCTTTGTCTTTGTCTTCGGCTCGGATCTGCTGGGGTCTGTTTTCCGATCGATGATTGCGCAATGGTATCTCTCGCAGACCCCTCAAAGCGACATTTCTTGATCGATGGCGGGAGTACTTGCAATCGTCGTTTTGCATGCGTTAATTGCACTTGTCCACGCATGACCCTCCCTCCCTGCTCCTCCCCCCTTGGGCAATTCAATATGTTTCGCAGCTTAACCTGAGATTTATTATATTTATGGCTCCGACTGTCGATAAGTAGAACAAACTTTTTATCTTGATTTACGAGTATGCCCGCAAATCTGGCAGTTTGTTTGCCTATGTTTGGACAATGGTTTGTCGTGGGAGGAAGGCAGCGGGGGCGGGCAGCAGATCTATTAAGCTGAACATTTAAACGCACTTTGCATGGAAGGAAGTATCCTGCAGTTGATGGGGTATATGGGGCTGGTGCAGAGTTTGTTCCACGAGTAATTATCGGAGGGGGAAATAATTATAAATACATTGATTCGTAGGGGCTTCCTGTGTCTTCCAAATGTGATAGAACCAAACTTCAACCCACTCTTACTAGTCATCTGCCTGGTCGACACCCTTTTGCCGACCCGTTCCCCCTGATGTTTAACCATTGGCTTAAATGACTTGACAGTTATAGATTTGTGCCTTGATTTATGCAGTAGGCAAGGCAGTTTTTGTTGCTGTTTCTTATTCATGATTGAGACCTGAAGGCCTTGCGGGTCGCTCAGGCCATGGCATGGGCTTTATCTCTGGCTGGACAATGGCCCGGGGCGGGATACGGGTACGGTGCCCATTAGAAAGTCACTGCAGCGAATGCATGTAATTCAAAGCGTTGCACAACGCTGCGTATGCGTAACGTGCCATATCCGGTTGGGGTCTCTAGGGATTATGCAAGCTGTGCACTTCCGAAATGTCATGCGAAACCCTTGGGGAAACAGTGGGGGACGTGCAAAGCGGATCTGCAGGCCTCCAATTACTGGGGAAAACAGACAGCACAGCACTGGCGCAGTCTTTCAACTAATTAAAACATTTCGAGTGCGAAATTCTTGCACGTCCGTGACTGGCGCGCGCTAACCAGCCTTCAGCCTTCAGTCTTGCCTTTGATTTTTGGCTATAGTCTTTCATTCTATGCCGCTGAGCGCGGGATGGGTGGGGGGGGGGGGGGGGGGGGCATAGGAGCAGCAAGAGGCAGGACCATTAGTGGGCCATAAGTTGGCTGTCAATTAGCCCGATCCGACTGCGTCTCCGTCTGCTTTTTCGACCGCGGCTGCCAACCCAATTTTGTCGGCGACTCAATTGTGAGATTACCGACTCCATTTGGCCAGCATCAGACATTGCAGCATTATTACCGCATCGCTGGCAAAACCAGACGTCGTTTGATCCACTTTCCACTAACCCACTCAAAGAGTATGCCCCTCCGCCACTGCACTCCACTCCACTCCACGCCCGTCCACTCCTCTCATGCTGCTTTGATTTTCGCACATTTAATGCGATTTTGCGCATTTGCGCGTTTGAAATTAAGCGAGTGACGAAATGGAACCACAACCAGAGCCCGAGCTCGAGCCAGAGCCAGAGCCACTCGAAGACACACACGCACCACAAGTGGAGCGTACACGCAGCGGGGAAAATAGATTTTCTGAGCTTGCAGCAAACTTGCATGTCCATCGGATCGGCCTGACAGTCTGCTCTACTCCGCTCCGCTCTGCTTGATTGAGTCCATGTGAAAATGAAATCGAAATTGAATCAAAATCGGAGTCCGAATCTGAGTTTGAGTCCGAGTCCAAGTCGGAGTTGAAGCTGGAGCACACGCTTCACTGGCCGATGTCCACTGGCGCCATGTCCATGACGTTGATGTGATGCCGGTGGTTACGCAAAGGCATTCCCACACCATTCCTCCAGCCATTGCTGGATATTTCAATTAGTGTTTTATTCAGAGCTCTTGCTCTTGTTTCGGGTCACAGTTGGGGGATTATGCAAAGTCTAAGGATCCCCGTTCGAATCTGCAGTTTGTGCGAGTATTTAGTCTGGTATATTTTTGGTATATCACAAAAAAAAAAAAATAAAAAAAATATAACATATAGATATAGCTTATAGATAGGGATTCCTTCTGCTGAGAATCTAATACTCTTCGCTGCTCTCCTGCTGCTGACTGTGAGCATCGGCCTCGTCGTAGCCCTCCTCGCTGCTGCCCTCGTACTCCTCATGGTCGCCGCCACCCTCCTCGTCTTCATCTCCTCCTCCCTCCTTCTCCTTTTCCTTCTCCTTGTCCTCTCCATCGCCGTCGCCATCTGCCTCGTCGTAGTCCTCGTGCACCTTGTAGTGGCCATTGTCCTGCTCTTCTTCGTCACCAGCAGCGCTCTCATGCCTCACCTGTTCGTCCACCGATGCACCACCACCGCCTCCACTCGATCCGCCTTCAGCATCGCCATGGCCGTGCAACGTTTTCACACCGTTCGTGATAACCTCCGCCTGGAAGCCATTGGCATCGTCGGCGGTGTATTTAACCACACGCAAGGTGCCATCAGGATCGACTACGCTGTGTGGATTCCGTGACGTTAATGAATGCGCTGACAAGTTGTCCCCCCAATTCACCAACCTGTAGACCTACCTGTAGACGCCCCGCACCTCGTCGCCGTTGCGCGTCTCTTTGCGGTTCTGCAGCACACGCGTCTTGCCATCTTCGACGCCATAGGCGAAGCTGTACTCGGGCCGTGCCACATAATCGGTGCGTCCGTTGTGGACCGTCACCAGGCGCTCTGGCCCCGCCACCGGACCCTCGAAGCGCGTGTAGGAATAGCCGACGGCCGAGCACACGCCAATCATTCCGAGTCCCACAATTAGCCCCAGCAGCGTGTGGCAGGCGCGTGCCATCTTCCCCGATGCAACACGGAAGCCGAAACGAGTTCCCGCTCCCGCTCCAGCTCCCGTCTCCGTAGTTACGCGTCGCCTCTTCATGGCTCTGCTGATTTATGGATTGTTTGGCGGGTTTTCGGTTGTATTTCGCGAGGAGTTCAATCCTCTGCAGCGGCCGCGTTCGATTCTCGCATACTAAGCGTGAAATATGGCACTTGTTCAATATTTATATAGGCATCGATCGAGCCCTGGGAAGTGTCCCTCCGATGTCCCTCCGAATGTGGCCACAAACATTTCGTCTGGCTAAGTATTTCCGCGAAATTATGCGCTTCATCAGTCAACTGGAACTGCTGGCCAGAGCCCCACGGATGCGATGCGGTCAGGCGGTGACGTTGTGCCCCGATCAGCAAATTGCATAAAAATGTACACAACCCTTCCCATGACGTCACTGATTTTTATGAGCCAATAAATTGCAGGGAAAATAGCAAGGGAAAACAGACGAGCTGTTTTGAGCTGGGTTTTGAGGAGCGGTTCGTGTCAGTTCATTAAAAACGTGTTTAAATGCCATGATCTCTGATTGACCATCGCACATCGCCTTCATCTCCGTACAGCAGACAATCCCCCAATCCCCGAATCCCCCTGGCTACTCAATTTGTTCAGCTTGAAAATCGCTTTAAGTGCGTTCAGTTTTCCAGCCACGAAAATCGAACATGGAACCACTGCTGATGGCCAAGATAAGCCACCTCCGCGGAGCAGACGCAGCTGCATTCGAGTTGAAGCTTTGACCTTTTTTCGAGGGTTTTGACAACCAACAAAAAACAAAAAAGGCAGCCAAAATATGGCTATTATTTCGGCTACTTCTAATTTATAAGCATCGCGCATTGGCTGCCATTGTTGCTGCCCCGTTGCCCGGCTGCATGGAGTTCGAGTGCTTTGCGGCATGAAAAATGCATATATCATTGGCCTCTGGTACTTGGCGGCAGTTTGTTGTGCCCCTTAAACAGTAGTCAATGGATAGGGAGGGGGTGAGGGGATGAGGGTGCCACCTCAGCAGAGGAGGAGGCACTAGAGGACTGGCTATCGTGGGAAAGCCCGCTGTCCGTATATGTGTGCGGAAAGCGTCGCTTAATTACCCACATTACACAAATGCTGCTGCTGCTGGTGCTGCTGCTGCTGCTGCTGGTTATGGCCATGTCTATGGCTGTTGGCTGACTCGATGGTAAGCTGTGGCTGTGGCAACAAGAATCGCACATGGATCGGTGGCTATTGCTCATTGCGAATCTCTTTTGGCTGCCATTAACGTAATTAAGACGCAGTTCGTTGCCCAAGTCTTTCGTTTTGCCCTTTACGGGCTGAAGCAAAATGTGTCACTGCATTATGACTCCATCTCCAACACTCCAGTGTCGCAATGCAAATGTCTCGGCAGATCGCAGGTCTATTAGGAGCAGATCTCAGCCACATGCCACCGAATCATGTGTTGCCTAAATAGTAGTCGCTCGCTCGCCTCTCTCTCCTTCTCCTGCTCTCACTATTTTTCTCCCCCTCTCTAAGATCTCTGGCCAGATAAATTGCACATGGTGTTCATGGTGCCTCCGGTACTCCCCCTCCGGCTACATTTCTATGGCGGATTATGTAAGGCCTCCATCTTCTGCTCCCCTGGCTAGACCCATTTTCAGACGGGACTGGGACTGGACCTGAACAGCCGCCACTGCTCTGGTTGAACTAGCTTTGCTTTTCTTTTCATTTTCATTTTCATTTTTATTTGCACTCCCTATTGCAACAGCACTCACTCACTCACTCACTCACTCTCACACACTCACACCTAATGAAAATGAAAATAAAAAGCGAAATGAGTCAAATTTGATTCAAGGCGGTAGGCAGTGGAATTTCCATTCAATCAATGGGTTTGTTTTCTCAAAAGCAACACGCGCAAAAATGCGTGGAATTAGTTGCCACAAATATTGTTGAGTATACACGAAAGTTTTTTTCCACCATGATTTGTGCATCTCGTTTGGTAGCCCTCCACCTGGGCAATGTCTGGTCGAATCGACATTCTCGGACAAGGAAGTTGAATCGATTCGCTGAATCCAAGAATCGATACCCATGCCCCATACCAATGCCCATAGCCCCCCAGAAGGGGCCTTTAATAAACGTTTATGGAGGGAATAAAAGGTTGAAAATCCGTCGTAATATGTCCCCAATGTCATATGTTCGGGCTAAAGCTTTCGCCCGGAATCAAAGATCACGCTGAAAGAGAAAAAGTTGTTTGCTTCCATTTGTGGTTTGCCGATTGATGGACTGATTGATGCGGATCGCCTCACCACCTGGTCTGGTCTGGTCTGGTCTGGCCGATTCCATTGATGATTGGCAATTAAAATTGCATCTGATGCATGGATTAGCTCACGTCGGCTACGTGCGGCACGCTGCTGCTGCGCTCTGACCCATATCGATGGTGGTGCTGCACCGTGCTGCAGAGCCGGCTTGCCGGGTATGTTGGTCAGTGGTGCAATTGCCAGACCGGGTTGCTGCCGGGCTTCTGCTGCTGCTGCTGCTAGCACCATGACATGGCGAATGGCTACCGGTTCGCTTTGCGTCGTTCAGTTGTGGCCCATTTCTGGCATAGACATAGACTCGCGGCTTTCCTCCACTTCTGCCTTGGTTTTTGGCTCTATTTTCGCTACAGGCAAATTAGTCAAATGGCAACAATTATATAATAATCTAGTTATATTTAACCGAGTGTCCAGTCAAGAAGTGGGCGTTGCATGTTTTCCTTTCACTTTTTCGTCTCCTGGAGAGCCGCCGCCAGAGAGACCAACAGCTGCTCCACTGCCAGGATATATATCAAAAAGCACGATTATACAATGGCCCAAACACCGTATAGCCGAACAGCCGAACAGGCGAACAGCCGCTGAGCGGCATGTAATTCTTGGCCAAGTCTGCAAACAACTCCAAACAATTGCCTGGCCAGCCAGTGGTCTGGTCTCTACGAGTATATTCTCCGATCTCAGCTTTTCAATTGAGACATTATTCAATTTGTGACAATCGCGAGAACCGCAAACCAAAAACGAAACGAAAACTGAAACAATTAACAGCATTTCGGCGATTTCCCAAAGCGATGTTCTAATTTTCGTGGAAACAGAAACAGAAAATGCCTTCGTTGGTTTCTCTTTTTCGGGGTCCAAAGTTGTGAACTGAACATTTAATGAGCACCAAAATCGTAAATTTAATTTATATCGTTTTCTAGGCTTTTTGTCAGACGACAAATTTCGTAATTTTTTCTTTTGGTTTTTTTTTTTTTTTTTTTGGCTTTAGATTCGTGTAAACTATGCCGACTCAGCATGGAGGCATGGTGGAATGGTGGAATGGAGGCAGCTTGAAGCATGGCCCGGGTCCCAGTTGCATGTCAAAGGCGCATGAAACGCCGCCAGCCTGCCACAAGAATCAAATGACACTCGGCCTGGTCAAAAAAAAAAAAACACACACAAAAAAACAAACGTATGTACTCGTATCTATGCAGAGAGTATGATATATCCAAAAGACTCGCAGTGTGTAGCCTTAATTGGCACCTCGACACTTGGCCAGGAGTCGCAGTCGCACTCGCAGTCGCCTGCTGGTGGGCGCTGTGTAGGTGCACTTGATGGTGTCCCCCCGTTTGAGGCCTGTGTGAAAAATTTATGTTCTGCTCGGGTTTATTTCCACCAACACTGTCGATAGTGGCATTTGTTGCTTAACCCGCGTTTTCGCACATTCAAACACCGTCTTGGCCAGGCGCTCGACAGCACTGGGGAGCTGATATTGGTAATGGCAGTGGCAGTGACGGTGATGGTGGCGGTAGCGCTTTATGATTAAGTATCCCAGGCAATGGTCACGCAATGAATATTGACATGACTTACGCATGTTACGCATACGAATTGATGGGGGGCGAAAGATATGCACATGTGTATGGGTTTTTTTCGGATCAATAAAGATGGAAAGAACAGCTGGAAGATGCCACACCTCTCATTCCAACTTTGGCCCAGAAATGTCAGCGATTATCGAAGAATTTCATTAGCTGCACCCTCTCCAACATCCAAAAGCCGAATACAAGCAATTTCGAGCGGCTTAATCGTTTTAGAAGAGCCCGCCCACCTCCAAACCATATGCAAAACACTGGAAACCAATTTCCAATTTTAAAGCTCAATAAGTCAATTAAAAATGCGCATTCAGAGTTCAGTTCCACAAGCAAACTCGTACTTGTACAACAGTCCCAACATCTGTAAACCGATTGATTGTAATGACTTGGCCTAAAGATCATAATTATCAGTGGTTGCTACCGCAGGCAGCAGCACAAGCAGCAGCAGCAATAAAACATATATCGTTAATTAAACACACAATCAGCGGTGCAATGCGATGCGGAGAGGAGTGCAGAGAACCCACAATAATTGGCGTTTATTAAGAGAAGGCGATAAAGCCAATGGTAATTGACATTTAAGGCAATTCATTAACGCGGCAAACACATCTGTGCGGCTGCGGCCTGAGCAAGCCAACTGACCAACAAAAAAACTGTGGATAATCATGCACCAGATTTGTGGAAATCTGTTTTTCACATGCCCGACTTAAAAATGCTGTCTTGAAGTTTGCTGTTGTTTTTTTTTTCCTACGAATTTGCATACGCGACGACAACGGCGCCAAAGTTTAGGCACAGTTCTTTCCACTCGCAGTTCCCAAAGACGCAGACGGGCTTCGAGTTTTTGGGGGCTCGAGTTGTGCCAGCAGCAATCACTGTTACATGCATAAATCAGCTTAATTGCTGTATTTAAATTCTAAACTTGGAGTGCGTGGACGGTCTTATAGTTGATTTTGGTTCAAGTTATAATTTATGCATGAATATACTTTTTCAGTCAGCCACTGATTAGTGTTTGACCATCTGATTGGCATTGCTTCGATGCAAATTTGTTTTGAAAGTATATAAACTTTTTTGGATGGTAGAAAATCTTGTTTATATCAACTGGCAGTTTCAAATCAAATTTAAATTTATGAGTGCTGCGAAACGTTTGAATAGGGTATAAGAAGTCCATCGGCTGAAAAGAAGGTGGTGTTCAAATGACATAACATTTAGTACCCACTGCCTTGCCCTTATTTGTTTAAGCCTTATTTTGGACCCCATCCAATAAAATGGAGTACTCAAAAAAAGCATAGATTGTAGCAGAGTATTAAAATACTCTCCACGGAAACTATGAATCTTGAAGAATTTTAGCGCAGCGCAGGTGAAAGAATCGGTATATTTACGGTATATTTTAAAATTAGACGGTATATTTCTGAGGGTCAGACCGTACCTTTTATCGACCAATGTACCAAATTTAGCGCCATTTCCCAGGCCACATGGAATCAGCATCGAATTCATGATAGATTGGCATCAATATCTTATTTTTTTCAAACATTTCGGAGAAATGTACTTCAGAAAGTGCAGAACGGAATATCATATGAGATAAAAACGGACAAAACTTTTGTTAAAACTGACACAACATGTAGTAAATAAGTAGGAAATATGTAGTTAGCGTGTAGTTACCATGCAAAATATAATTGGAAATTGTTGCTAGCCTTTTTAGTTTATTTTATTATTTAATAAACAATCCAATAAAGATGGGTGCTTAAAATTTGCCAGTCTTGTAGGAAGTTGATTCATTAAACTTATGCGTCAGTATAATTTTGGATATTTTGTAACTGTGACGTATTTTTGGTATATTTCTAAGGGTCAGACCGTATAACTTATCGATAAATCCTCTGCTTGCGCGGCATGAAAGCAAATAATTGTCAAGTCAAGAATTGTTAATAAATTTACAAAAATTCGTGCAATTAAAGCACTAAAATGTCGACAACTGAGGATATTACTCATCCTATGAGTGAAAAGAGTCCCGAGATGGAGAAAAATGATCAAGAAGAGACTGATACCAAAGATGTTTCACTGGATGACATAGAAGGCAGCAATCGCTCCGAAGGAAAAACGGAAAGTATTGTTACAGTGCTATGTAATCCAAACAAAACTAATGCCGCCAAAAAAGCCGACGCTGCAGCTATGAAAGCGGACATGAACACGGAGGAGATGATGAATGTCGATGGATCTTCATCTCATTCGACCGCCAATGAAGGAATGAATCCATCAACAGAGCGCGCTTTGGCCAGCAAAAAGCCGCCAGCTCCTAAGATGGACTGGAAGAAGAATCTCCGTATTCTCATCTCCAATATGTATATGAATTCGAAAGACCGTCTGCCCGGAGCCTGTATGCCCAAATGTCTGCGAAATACGAGAGAATGCGAGGATAAACACCGCACTGCAATGCTGCCAGATGTGCCAAACTTTATGCTGGTGGAAGATCTGAAGAGAACTCTGCGTGGCCACCACTATGACACCTTCCTGGACATGGTGGAGATGATGGCGATGCAATGCGTGTACCCTGGAGATGGTATCTTTGACAGGCTCATTGACCTGGTCATGGTAAGAGAGTGCTCCTTGAACTGAGTAAAGTAAAAGAGCTGAGTACCCTTTCCCTTTTCCAGATTCTGATTGCCAAAGAAATAACTGTCAAAGAGCTGGCGGACATCTATAGAAAGGCGATAAGCACCTTCTTTCTCCTGGTCGATGCCTTCCCGCCCTGCTGGACGTGCTTGCGCCCATATTACTTGAATTTCCTGCGCGTCCCGAATCCGACCAATCGTAGCGCCCGTACCGACAATGGGACGCAAAAGCTGAAGTTCTATCTGGATCTTTTGGAGGAGATCTTGCCGCAATGCAGCGATATGGAGATCCGCACGATGACAAAGCCCTTTGAGGAGCACGTATTCAATTTCACGGATGAGGAAGAACTAGAAATGTCACAAGAGACGGCATTCCTGCAACATGTGCAGGACTACGACTGGATAAGTGGCAAACTCTGTCTAGATGACTTCAAGAATCTGTCGCCTGGGGCACGCCTCTCGCGAGTCTGCGATGTGCTGAACATGCTCTGCAGGATCCTGGAAATGGAGTTCTTGTCCTGGCTGGACCACAACCGTCTGCGCCAGTCCGAGTCAGAGATGTTCAATGAAGAAACAAAGCCGTTTGCCATCCATGTCTTTGGAATGTCGGCAACAATGCGGCTCACGGATATTGTGCGCCAACTAATGCGCTTGTACGGCTTGGCGGCGGAAAAGTCCATGTACCCCGACCGTCTAGAAATGCTGCAGGTGAGTATTCATTGTATGTATATATTAGCCAAGCCTCCTATCTCTTTCCCTTGTGCATCAGCGCCTTATCACACTCGTTGTGGAAGTCAGCAACACGGCTGAGCTGAAATACGTGGACAACAATGTGACCTACCCGAACCTGGGTTCGCAGACCCGCCTGCTGATTGCCCAGTTCTTCAAGATATTCAAGTCACAAAATCCCAAGCACATCAGCACCTACATCAAAAGCATTTCGCAGCTGGACCAGCCGTATCTTCGCTTCGAGTTTACCGATCACTTTCTGCAGCTGTTTTACTTCCCCAGAAATGTGGCGTTCGGGCCGAAGAAGGTGTGCGATGAGTTCAATGAGAGGCAATGGTTGAAATACAAGCCAAAGAGTGAGATCGAGGAAGACGACGATGAGCAACTGTCGCGGGAGGATTATCTGAATATACTCCTGAACGCGCTAAAGGACTATGACAAATGGATGAATCTGAAGGGCTTTTGGAAGTTTATGCAGAACAAGGAGCAGGTGCAGCAATTGCAGACCTGGACCAGCAGCCCACTGGCAACTCCTGTGGGCATCATAACGGGCGAAACGTTCAAGGCCTTCGAGCTGAGTGAAATGGAAAAGGAAGTGCCCAGCTGGAAGAAGCGCCTCAACACCAAGGTGATTCTGGGCAGGCCCATGGTGAATTTGCCAGTGGCCAAAATCAATTTGGTCGAGTCATGCGGTCGCTATAGCAGCGATGTGCGTTACATACGCTATCTGCGCCGTGTGCTCGTAAAGGAAGTCCAGTCGGAAATCGATGTAACCGATTGGTTGGAATATCTAAATGGATTCCTGTGCGACGACGAACCACCATCAGAGCCGGCATCGCCCCGTTCCTCCCCAGCGTCGGACCCAGAAGAAGCCTAGTGGCGCTTCGGTTCAAGTATTTCTTAAATCTTTATCTCACCAAATGTTAAAATATGAAATTAGTTATTTTATGTTTACTGAAACGACGCGCTGAGCGATTGTTCGTTGTGAAGAATGTAAGAATAATGCATTTAATTCATTTTCCATTCATTTCATAATTTTCATTTTCTGTATTTCTCCACTGCAAATATATATTTATGCTGTAACTAAATACACATTTACGCACACATTTACATATAAATACAGCTACTACGCATGTACATACATTAATAAATATACATATACTCGTATATAGGTATATGTATGGTGTATAGTTATACAATATTATCGCGTTTTGTTTTTAAGCATTTTGCTTTGCTTTGCTTTTTTGTTTTGCAGATCTCCTTTTTCGTTTTGTTTGTCTTTGTTCATTTAATGTCTAAATTCTTTGCAGTTTTACATTTTACACACTCAACTATCATTAAGTTGGGCTCTTAAATGCTAATCTCACTACGTCACTTATTTATTTATAAAAAAAAAATTGTACGCGTGGGGGATGGTGAGGAAGGAAAGCGGTGTTGTGTCGCGCATAGGATCTCTGACATTATTTATACGATGCATTCGTTGGCGGCGGGTCTCCAGGTCAGCAGTAGACCCACCCTCCACATAATATCATCAACATCCTTCCGATGGACTGGAGAGATAGTATCTCAAGTGTGAAAAATGATTTACATAGATCGACTTTAAGCGGTATTTAGAAAATTACTCTGCCAGGCTTCCTGTCGCCGCGTGGGGGAGGGGGTTCTGTTTCGAGGTTCGGGTTTCGTTTTAATTCGTTAACACTACACATTTATCAACATTTATTTAGTATTTATTCAATATATTCTAGCGTTTGTCTAATGTAATTTATCCTTCTCCCGGTTTGCATGTGATTTCGTATACATTTCAGATTTTCGTTTTGTTGCGCTTTGAAATCTATAGGAACTTGACGCAGGGGTCGACGGGGAAACCCGTGCTGCAGTTTTAAAATTGTGAGCGATACGATACGAGTACATAACAAGTTTCAGTCGGGGGCTGTGGTGGAAGGGAACGGAACCAAGGGTCGACGAACATCAAATAAAATACTAGTCGCAAATTATATTTTTAGAAAATATTATTTTCGCTTTTTGTTTGTATTTTGATTGATTTACATTTTGGGTAAACTCCTTACCGCCGCCGCTCGCTGTATTCATTCGCTTTGTACATACAAAAATTGGAGTTGGGCTTTGTACAGAACTTGCTTTGCTTTCCTATCGCATAATCATATCATTATTGTAGTATTAGCATTAGTTTGTGTTTACTTCAGTAACTAATATTTAGACGAAGGCTAGCGTGACAGGTTTTCTTTTCCAAGTTGTGCCAATTATGCAGAAATTATAACTATTACAACTAATCAATTAATATTAACAAAACGTTTCATTACAAACTATGGCTCTGCATTTCGACCTCTTAAAACTATAAGAATTTTTTTGTTAGCGGTTTTCTCATTATCGGTTTTTCTCCTTTAAGATTAACATTTTAAATAATTATGCTAGGAATTGAATGAAACAAATTGGATTTGTGTAAACCCAGACCGCAGAACACCCGTGTAAATCGTTTCACAAGCTGTTTCTGTTGTTACTGAACGAAAGTTTTTACAAAAATAGATCAAATAAACCACTGGAAACTCTGACTAAGTCAGGTCTGTACAATTTCCCTTTAGAGTTAAATGCCAATTAAAACAATCTAAAAGTGGTTTTGATTAAAAAGATATTGAAATTTTAAAAGTGTTTGCACTTTGTGAAGCTATTTTACTTTTCTTTACTTTCTTTTCTCTTGTTTTCGTTTAGTTTCGTTTACGCTTTACTTATTTCACATTTTATCGACTTAACGCAATGACTTTTCGCTTAATAGTGTGCTTAGTACTTAAGCAAATTTTGTTTCTTTCTAGTTCTGCTCCTAGTTACGGGTTACGATTAGGTTTATTTACGTGAATAGGAAATTGGTTAATCTATTGCCTCGTGAGTGGATTGCGGGGTGGGGTTGGGTGTAAGATGCTGGGGGGTTCCGCTGCCACACAGCAGCAGTTCTTTAAGGGTCTGGTCTTTCTTCAGGTTGGATGTTCACTTTTCGGATTTCTGGTTTCTGTTTTTGGGTTTTCGGATTTGCTTTTCCATAGAGCGCTGTGTGCTGCTGCTGTGGTGTTGGCGGTCTGCCGGTTAGCTACTTTTGAAGCGTTTTGCTATACATTCATCTTGGTAAGTTCTTAGTCACACACTTAAACCTTAACAACAACAACAATGTTCGCTACAATTAAACAACTAACAACAACGTAAGCGTACACACCAAACATGGCTCACTTCTTGCGCGATCGCTGCTCCTCGCCCTCTTCCTCCTCTTCCTGTTCTACTATCTGCTCGTGGACATTCTCCTCCGCCTTGAACATGTACTCGAGGAGCAGCTGATCAGCTCATCCCTCGCGCTGCGTTGCCGACGCCGCAGACGTCGGCACTGTGGTCACACCATTCGATGGTGACTCGACCTTAATCACACCAAGCTGCTGCAGCTCTTCGCGCGTGTGTTGAATGCGGCCCACCACCACCCCATTCATGGTGACAAAGTTCCCATCCGCTGTCACAGCTCCCAGCTGCATGGCGCTGGACAAGTCGCCCAACGAGGCCACATTGAAATGATGGGGAGAGCTGCCATTTCCATGATGAAGAAGCTGCTGCTGTTGTTGTTGCTGGTGTTGCGCCACAGACGTGGTGGAGGGCAGAGTGGTAATAGTTATTCCTCGCTGATGGTCGATGTGGTGGGCATGTGCATGGGGAGGAGTAGGATGCGGATGCGGAGGCTGTTGGTGGTGCGGATGCTGTTGCTGTTGCTGCGGCTGATGATGGTGCTGCTGCTGATGATGATGATGCCCCGCCAACGCCATCCGTCCTAGTCACCCCTCCTCCTCCTCCGTTTTGATCTTGACAGGAACGTAGACCTTGTCCATGACATGGATCTTTATGTGGTTGTTGAGCGTGCTGGACTGCCGGAATTGCTTTTTGCATATGACGCACTCGAACGGCTTTTCACCTGCAAATGAGGTTTGGGATTAGTTTGGAATTTCAAGGAATAAATCAAGCACCGTCCCCCAATCAGGGGAAGCATTGTGATGATCTGTGGATCATGGTCGCTCACCCGTGTGGATCTTGATATGATTCGCCAGAGTGCTCAGCTGACGGAAATGCTTGGGACAGTAGTTGCAGTTGTAGGGCTTTTCCCCCGTATGGATCTTCAGATGGTTCGTCAGCGTGGACGATTGACGGAAGGTCTTATCACAAACGTTGCATTTGTAGGGCTTCTCGCCAGTGTGGATCTTGACATGGTTGGTCAGTGTGCTCAGCTGCCGGAAGCGTCTATCGCACACGGTGCAGTGGAAGGGCTTTTCCTGGTCTCTCGCTCCTCCGCCCCCGCCACCGCCAGAGTTGGCATTACTGCCAGTCCCCTCGCCCTGGTGCTCGCCATGGCCATTGGCTAAATAGTGATCATTCGACATGGTCGGGCTGTGTGTGGCCAGGTGGACAAGATGCGGCGGAGGCGGCGGCGGTGGCTGCTGCTGGTCGGCCGCTGCCGCCTGAGCCGCCGCGGCCTGGGCAGCCGCCATTGCTGCAGCCTGAGCGGCACTATGCGCCTCGGCCGAAATCCCAGTCAGATGCATTTGGAAGGGTAAGGCAAGTTCCGCTGGAGCTGGAGGCGCTGATGGTGGTCCAGAGGACTGTTGCTGCTGCGCTTGTTGCTGCTGCGCCTGTTGCTGCTGCGCCTGTTGCTGTTGGTGGTGCTGCTGCTGTTGCTGTTGCTGCTGTTGTTGGGCCGCCGCTGCCACATGACCGGGATGAGTGGCCTGTGTGACCGTATCATTGTTGTTGTTGTTGGCAATCGTCGTCTGCGGCTGAGAGGCCACAATAACAATGTCACAGTTGCTGCTCATCGCCGTGGCAGCAGCATGGGCATGAGCATGGGGCAAGCTCTTGATATGCATCATGGGCAGCTACCAGTGCACTGGAGTTGGGAGTGCGAGTAGGAGAGTGGGAGCTGGATCAGGCTCTGGAGGGGAAACAGGGAATGAGTTTTCTCTGTATCGGAATCGTAATCGTACGCGCGAACTGGGCACGGACTTCTTGAACAGAAAGTTGGCGAACAAACTAAGATCGATTGATTCTCAAAAGCGCCACGACAGATTCATCTTGGTTGTTTCTGCTTCTGCTGGGTGGTTGTGGGTTTGTTGGTGCTGCTGCTGGTTCTGGTTAGTGCCTGGAAATTAAGTGGAGAGGAGAGAGGGATTAGTGGGCTGTTGACTGGCCGCGGCGGCTTCATCAGATGATGTTGCCTACCGCTTTGGTATGCAAAAATATGTGAGGAATTCCCCCAAAACACACATACAAGACACGAAATACCTAACTGCGAAATTATAAATCTAAATTATTCAATGGCTGACACAATTCCCGAACGCCCTTCCCATTCCACCAACCATCCTCCTAAGAGTTAGTTCTATTCAGACTGCCTTTAAAATGTGTTTTTCTCTTTTCGCATAAATTATAAAACCGACGATTATGCATTTTTAAACAAAATAAATACGCGCGCGCGCCCAAATGCATGTAACTTTCAGAGCTCTGGTTTTTACGTCCCCATCGGTCGGACAGGTTCCTCGGCAAGCAATCCCGCCCCCTGCCATCGCACCACCACCTTCCCCAACAAAAAACCTCTCTCACACACACACTCATACACACACATGCATGCACACGTACAATCTCTCAGGTATCTTTTTGGTTGAATTGACAGCGTGTTACTTTCTCGCAAATTACATGTGTTTCCCAAATAAATATAAATATATAATGATGGGCAATATCGTTATCCAATTAGAGAAAGTTGGCAGGGCGAGTGTCCTGGCAGTAGGAAGACTTCCTTGTGGAGAGAGCCTATTTTGGGCGGGCTTTTGTGGTGAAAAATTTTCCCTTTTTTCAAAAGCAGTTTTTCCACTAACACGTTGCCTTGCCTTGCCCCTCGTTGCGGCCCATAAGCGACAACCACTTTCAGTCGCTTGCACACACACACACTCGCACATACACGCACACTCACAGGCATTGACTGTAAAAGCTCTTTTGAGGTTAGGAGACAGACTTCTTCTATTTTGGAGCTCGTTGTTAAATGTTCATTGTTTTTTTATGGCTAAAGCACTCTGCTTCTGGCTAGACAATTGGGCTGTGCAGTTGGCAGTCTTAGATTTTTCACACAGGTATATATATTTGAGGCGCCCACACATTGACCTACCTTTCCATTTTGTGCCTCTGCTGCTGTGTGGGGCCTTTCAGGTTTAGATTTCCCCCCGTTTTACATCATTTTCCGCATTCGAGTGTGTTGTCGTGGGTCTCGGCAGGTCAAAACAGTGTACGCGTTCCGCTATCAGTTGTTTAAAGCTAGGCTTCGAGCATTTTTTGTTGCTGTGTGTTCATTTATAAAAAGGAGTATAAATGTTAGAAAAATAGTACAAATATTTCTTTTCTTTTTTTTACAGTTTCGCGTACAAATAGATTGTTGATAGTATATCGATATGAACGATATTTTAATTTTTGATACGATAATATCGGTGCGATACTTTTGTCGACGACTGTATCAAAAATCGATATCGAACACTGAACGAACTTAGCACAATTAACCTGTTCAAACAGGTGCACAACTTACTGTTTGTAAATTCTTCTTGCAGATCTGTCCTTCCTTCCAAAAAATTACCCAATATATGTCACCTGAACTGCGCTAAAATAAGTATTAGAGTTTTGACCCTGGTCGACAAAGGGTTAAGAGTTCTCCGTCCATGATCAGACATCATATTCCTCGATTTTAATATTCGGCTTAATATTACTAGCTAGCTAGGACCCTTAGCGCTGAACATGTACTTTTATTCGTTTAATGAATCAATTTTCTACAAGACAAGACAATTTTAAGGACCTTTTTATTATACCCTTGTATTTGATTGTGTTTAAACTATGGTTTCAACAAAAAAGGTCAAAGCATAAACGTAAGTGTGCTCGCAATGTTACGTCATACGTCATAACGTTGCTGGTAATTTGAACACTTGTTGCTTGTCAGACAGTAGACTGGACATTTGTGTACCCTATTGCTTTTATTGAATGCTTAAATTCTGTTTTCTGAGCTGCTTTGACACCTAATTAATATTGACCTTTTTGAAAAAGTTTATTAGGATATGATTAAAAAAGAGGCTGACTAGTTTCTGCACTTATTGGGGCCTGAGATGACAAAGCTTTTGTCAATTCTATAATTCGGAACTATTCGATCAACCGAGATCATAAACTGGTGGTTGAAATATTCTTTCATTATGCAATTAACTAAAGTAATTTATTAAATCCTTATATATTGTTTTATAGATGATTTTATAGCGTGAGTCCGCTGAACACCAACCACTACATCGCACATCTCTATGGAGAAATAATTTGCCATTCTTATGTCAACGTTCCAGTGGGCAAACTATTGATAACTCATTAACTCAACCCTAGCGTCAATAGGATAGGGTATAATCACTAAAAATACAGTATTTTGTATGGTTAATGGTATAATATAGAGCTGGTCGATTTTTTTTAAAACCCCAAATCAATATATTCTTAATATGTAATATATATATAATTTTCTGATGATATTTCTCTCTGCTCTCACTCGGCGCCACTGCTTAGAAAATCTAATAAACCTATATGTTCGGGGCAAATTAAAGATCATAGGGTATAGAAAATCACATTCGCAAGGCTTTTTGTGTTTTAGCTCTCGCAAACAATATATTGAAAATGTCGAAAAACCATCGATCTATCGCATAACTCCAAAAGCTGGTGCCATCGGTTGTTTTTCCATCTCTATTGAAGCTGCATACCTTTTCGAGGCAAATTTTTTGCTTTATTTTCGTTAAATTGTACTTTAAAATCAAATGCAATTGCTTAGAAAAGTGTTGAGGGTAGTAGTGCAAGTTTTATAAAATCGTGCAAACACGCGACGCTTGTTGCTCGCCATGTCCGTTGCTTAAACTCAGCTCGCTGTTCACTTTATTTTTGTTGTGGTGCTGCGCTGCTGCCGGCGGAGGCGGTCGCGTCTCATCTGAGTTCAAAATAATACAAAGTTTTCAGGTAAATTTATACATATGTACATATTCACAGTAATTAATCAGTGCGTGATCTTACCCTCAATATCGACGGCCCTTTCGTTGCGACATGAGAGCCGCATGTTATCCAGAAACTGCTGAACGAAGCCCTTGGTCTCCTCCTCTGTTTTCTGGGCAACCGCCTGGACATGGGAATGCGTTCGCATTTCCATTGCCCGCAAGTCATCCTGCATGGCCTTTTTGCTGCGCTCCACAACGGCATCCAGGGGATCATCGTAGGGATTGCTCGGCTCGAAAGGCGTGCTGTCGTCGAACTGCGCTCGATTCCCATTGCCCGCTGAATTGTGATTCGAGTTCACAGACGCGGTCGTCCGTTCATCCTCCTCCCCAGAGCCCAAGGTGGTGTTTGTCTTGGGACCGCCTTCCTTCGAAGAAATGTCCATGTCCTCTTCGTCACCACGTGGCGTGGACACTGGAGTAGTCTGAGGATCCGCTTCGCGGGCTGCCTTGATCTGGAACAGCGACGATATATTCTCCTTGGCGCCAAGCACCTCGCTGGAGATCTTGTGGGTCACCGAGTCCATGGCCCTGCCCATGGAGTCTTTCGTATCGGAGGCTGCCTTTGCTGCACTGCTTCCTGCCTGCTCCATCGCGTGCATTGCATCGTTGGCCATGCGCTGGGCACTCTTGCCCGCGGCTCCGACTGCATCGCCTACAGCATCCACTGCTCCGCGAGCACCTGTAGCCATGCGCTCGCCAGCCGCTTCCATGGATTTCTTTGCTTCTTGGGCGGCATTCTTCACTGCCATCTGGATCGAGTCTTGCCTGGAGTTCAGATCATCCCTCATCTCTTCAGTAGCCCTCAAAGCGCCGTCTTTGTGCTCGGCCACTGTCTTCTCCACGCGCTCTTCCACCTGTTGCAGCATCTGCTCGGCATCCGACTCCAGCTCCTCCATCGAGTCCTCTAGGGATGTGTCTGGCATTTGCTCCTCCACCTTGGCCGTGACATCCACCCCGTTGTTGATAAACCGTATCTCGTTGACCACCTTGCTGCCATCCCTGGAGTCCTTCGTTGTGGTTATCTCCACCGCTAGCTGCTCATCCTCCTCTGTGGGTGGCGTGGGCGTGGACACTTGAATGGTGGCAGGGGCAGACACTTCTTCCACCGTCTCCAGGCTATCGACCAGCTCGGGCGACGTCCTCTCCAGGTGCTCATGATCCATGGCCGCCTCGTACGAGAAGTTCCGTATGGGCGTCTTTTTGACGGTTTGTGGAGTGCTGCCATTGCTGCTGTCTGGATATGGTGTGCGCGGACGCAGCATCTGCTTCTCCTGGCTGCTATCCAGCTTCTCCAAAGGATTACCTGGCTGCACAAAGCGTGCCGACTGCAGAGAACCGATCGAATCTGTCGGGGATTTTGGTGGTGGTGGTGTGGGCGTATGCGTGGGGGGAGTTGGTAGTTTATCCATTGAATCCATGGGTTTTACTTCGGCTGCCATGGCTTTTACTGGGGGTTCCATGCGTTTTGTAGGAGATTCCATGCTTTTTGTAGGAGATTCCGTGGGTGCTGATGGTTCCATCTGCTTGTGTTCTGCACTTTGCGGTTTCGTCGGTTGCTGCTCCTCCTTTTGGTTGTTCGGTATTGCTTCCTCTTCATTGCCATTTACCTCTGGCTCTTTCGGATGTGCCTCATAATTTGCCTGTACTGACTGTACTGCCTTCGATTCCTCCTTTGCCTCCTCAACTGTATCCTTGGTGGCTTTTCCTTCCTCTTCTGCCACGTTACCATTCGTTAAATGCTTCACAGCCTCCATGGCTGCCGCTGTTCCAGCTGCAGTGGCTGCTCCCGCAGCTATGCCAAATCCCTTGTCCGGGGACATAGCCTCCATCTCCTCCGCCACCTGTTGTTGCTTGGTGAGGCTGCGGCCGCTGCTGCTCCTGCCCTGCTCTAGTAAATTTGCATTTGCATCCTTTGGCTGCAGGACGAAGGCGGTGGTAGATGCGGAGGCCATCGAAGATCTGGGTATCCCCTGCACCAGAATGTGCTGATCCCCCACAGCAATGTCCAGCAGGCGGAGATTCTTGAACTTGGAGATCTCGCGAAAGGTCTTCAGGTGGTGGCCGCTCTCTGAGAAGGTCGTGAAGAACTTGTTGGCCTTGCTGAGGGCCGCGTAGAAGGAGAAGCCCTTCAGGAGCTTCCAGATGGGGCCGTTCTCCTCGCTGTCGTAGTCGTAGAAGCGCTGAAACACCAAGCTCTTGTTCCGCACCGACTCGAAGCTGCGGTAGATATTCCCAACGTTGCTCACGATGTATATCTCGCTGGCCTTCGAAATGTGCATGAAGATGATCTGCTCCGTAGGAGAGAGGTTCTTCTGCAGCTCCGTGAACTTGGGAAACACAAATTCGTTGAGGTGCCCCGTAAGAAAGAGACTTCCGCTGGCCGTCAGCACCAGCGTGGACTCTGGCCCGCAGGCAAACTGCTGCACGGTGGCGTCCAGCTTAATCTCCACGGGATGGCCATCGTAGTCGGCCTCCAGCTCCCCCAGCTGCTGCTGGGCATTCGAACCGCAGCCAATCAGCCGACCAGTGGCTGTCGAGAGTATACGTATATTCAGAGAGAGATTATCCTTTAATTAATGGGGGTTTACTCACTGGTGAGCACCGCAAAGTGCTCGTTGCCCGCCTGCACGGCCAAGAAGTTGTCCGTCTCCTCGCTCTTGGACAGATAGTCATCAAACTCCTCCAGCCGAAAGGGTTTCCGGATGATGGCACACTGCTGCTGCTCCACCTGGGCGCTGATAAAATGCTGCGCCACATGGGTGTCCTCAGGAAAGATGTTGCGACCCGTAAAGAAGATCTCATTGGAGTCTTTTTCGTGGGATATAATGGGCTTAGAGTGGGGCTTTCCCTGTGATGTCTACAGCTGTTTACTTACGTGTTAGCATCACGGACCAATTGTTGCCAAAGGCCGCATCGCAGATCTTCAGTCCCAGGCTTTTCAAGGCCTTCACACATGTGGGCTTTGTCACTATATCCCCATTAGTGGTGCTGTTTCCACCCCTTTTGCCGCTGGCCGTAGAGCCGCTGTGGCCGCCAATCCCCAACTGTCCGAAGTGATTCTCGCCCCAAACAAATAGTCGGCCAGATTCTGTAATTGAGATAAAAGCCGGTGGGCCGGGGGTTTGACATTTGCTATGGCTTTTAGCTGTTGCTTTTTTCTATTGTTTTATTATGTTATACGATTAGTGGAAGGGGGGGAGAGGGTGTGGTGTCGTGTGGTGTGGTGTGGGGTGGGGTGGGGGTGGTTGGCTGGGGCTCCCTTTTCTTGACTTTTATTGATTGTAGAGAGAGAGAGTGTTTCGTTTCGTTTTGGGACAGCCAATCCCTCTCGACTGCTATTCGACTGTTCGACTTTACGCTTCAATTACGACTTGGACTTGGACTGCTTTCGGTGGCGGGCGGGTTCTCCGTTCACTTCGTGAGTTCGCCCCATATTTCAGGTATTTTTTACGTTACGCCTGACCCCATTAGGATACCGAAATATATTGTACAGGAGTAGTGTGTGTTGCCGTGATTTGAAGTGCTTGCTGGCTTGCTTGAGGTCTCTCTGGGCGCTGGTCTTCGGTGTCTGGTCCGTGGTCCGTGGTCAAGCTTATGTAATGTGGGTCAAATGTGGGACAAATTTGGTAGTAAATTGGGAGTTTCCCCAAAGGAAACACTCATCGCAGATGATAGTGCCACATAATCCTTCGTCACCAATTTGTCCAAAGTTAGTGGGCCATAATTTAGCCATTCAATAGCCGCTAGCGCGGGCCAGTTCTGCCCTCAAGACTGGGCCAACAGGAAAGTGAAAGTGAAGTGAAGTGCCTGCGGGGGTGTGCGGTGGTAGCTTATGATTATTTAAAGAAAATTGCAGTAAACATGCAATGCAGAGGCAGCCAGCCAGCCAGCCAGCCAGACACGAAGAACCCATCGTCAATTCACTTTGACTTGAACCACTTGACCACAGTCTGAACTGAGAATGGCCAGGAAGACTGGCCAAGGAGAAGGTGGCCAGCAAGGAAATGCAGACAAAGGGAAATTGGGGTCACTCTTTTGGGAGCGAATACTCGTTGTAGTTACCGCATATGACTGCACTTTGATGGGGACCCGATATCAGTCGCTTCACGGGATCATTTTTAATGTAGAAATAGCTCTGGGTATTCTCCGCCAGATGGGATTTGCCCAAAGTGAATATGGCACCAGTGCTGGGTATATCCATGTCGTTTATGTTCTACTCTTTTTCGGCTATTCGGTATTCGGTTCAGTTTTTAGATTTCGTTTCCGCTTTTATTGATTTGTATATTAACGAGAGACTGGGAGGTCTTGCATATTTCTCTTTTTGCCGGCTGCAGTTGCTCGTCATGTATATCTGTCGTTTTATATACACAATAATGCCATTTGGAGTTGCGTGTGCCGCACGGACCGACCACAGGCGGAGGGGGGACTGTTGACTGTACGCGGAGTTCGGGCTTGCGGCTTCTGACCCGGCGGCACTTCTGGTCAGTTGAACGTTTCAGCGCGTACTGGTCAGTCCTGACTAGCCAGGAGTTAGCTCTAGCCTCTAGCCTCTAGGCATGGCTAGACATACACACACACACTCCCACAAGAGCTGCCATCAATATTGGGCCATTTGCGCCCGTATAAGTATGCTATGAAAAAAGGCTTGCTGCTTGCCTGGTCGTTGGCTCGCTTCGTGTGGAGGGGGGGACGTGGCAGGAGGAGGCCTGGCCTGGCCTGGCCTGCCAGTTGCCACAGTGAGTCACCCTAACCCCAGGCAACATTTAAACCAAGTTAAGTTATTCCACTCTTCCGAGCAGAGCGGAGCGGAGGGAGAGCACCGAGGGGTTTCCTTTCCCTCTTCTTTCTCTTTCTGTTTCTCAAATATTTATGGCATTTGTGAGTAATGTTTGCAAATCTCTCAGAATACGCGAACGAGACGGGAGAAGGCGTAATGTTAAAAATAGCATTAATATATATTGTATGTGCAGGTGAATGCAAATTGGGACTGGCCCCTATCCCAACCCCTTGACCTGTTGACATTTGCATAAGGGAAAAGTATGCCACCGAATTCGCGACACATTTCTCAAAAAAGTTAATTAATTCGTTCGGGGCGGGGCGGGGCGGGGCGTTCTTCCTGAGAAGTAGTTCTGTTTTCGTTTTTATGGCCTATTCGCCATTAAAAATGGGCCAAGTGGTTGATCCCCCGTCCAGTGTTCCAGTGTCCCGGTCTCCCAGTGTCCCACTCTTCACTTACGACTCTTCACATTTGCAGACTTTCGCAGACAATTTGCGTCAATTAATTGATTTTATTGTGGGAATCCCAAAGAAGATACAATTAGATATAGCTTATGCAATAAGTGCGTGTATTTCTGTTTTAAATGAATGGGAAATGTTAAAGGTGTTTCTGAAAGGGGAGCAGAAACAGCAACCGAAGGAGGATAATTGCGAGACCAGGCTAGAGCTCCAGTTCTGGCATCCATTTAGAAGGCTTCTTTTACTCGGCTTTAGCCTCAATTGAGAAGGTAAACTTTCTATATATATATATATATATATAGCACATACATATGCTCTTATTATATGCATGTAAAACTCCTGCAGCACTTTGGCGAACATGAACGCCCCACGAGTACGAGTACGAGTACGAGTACGACGGGTACTCGAATGTCTATGTAATTTATGAATCGCCTAACAAAGTTGTTTGCCTCGCAAACTGCAATAGCTGCTGGCTACTGTTGGCTTCTGCTGGTGTTGGAGTTGCAGTTTGGCTCTCTCTGTTGCTTGCCATTTCCTCCGCGCCCCCACCCCCCACCCGCCGTAGGCGTGCCGGCCAATGTGCCAGTTATCCGTGCTGCCCCTTTTGGGGGAGACGCCTCCTCCTTCGGTCATCCGCTGACTTGGCAAAAAGCAAATCTTATGCGTTCCGCTCCAGTTTGAGGTGCATGCAAATGTTGCCCTTTGCTGAGCGTTGAACTCTGTTCTGTTCTGTTCGGTTCGTGAGTGTTTTCTTCTGCCTATTTTTAGTGCAGGGCGTAAAGTCGTGACAATTAGCCAAAGTACATTGAACTCTCTTCGATTGGGGCAGCAAAGAGATGCCATGTTTGTGAATGATGACGTAAAGAGGAAAAGAAAAGGCACCCAAAGTCAGCTGTCGGAGGTCTCAGGCGGCACCGGAATGTGTCGAATGGCTTGACGAATCTATTTTGACTCCCGAGTAGTCGAGTGCTCCGGTCGAAAGGTTGATTGAACCTCCCAATCGATTGGAGGAGCTGGCAGCCGTGAGAGAAGGGCTTCCCCCATCCCACTTTCCCTCTCTTAACTAACCGAAATTAGTCGGCTTGACCTTCATCGTGGGGTCCTGTTTTCCCAGTGCCCTTTCTTACCTTTTCCCTTTCTTGTTTTTGTTGGTGTTGGGATGGGTTTGGGATTTGTGTTGGTCTTTTCTTGGACTTCTCCCCTGACTGTGGCGTGCGCTTTTCATTTCGTTTTATTGCCTGACTCAAAGCTTGACCCGCACAGGGCCAAGAGCCGCATCGCACCACTGGAGGTCCGAGTGGAAGGTGAAATGGCAATCATTGTGTAAATTGTTTACCAGCTAAGGCGCAAATGTAGAAGGAAAGGAAAGCTTGCTATTTTCCGTATGGGTCTTCTTGGAATGCTCTTGCTTTCGCACCCACCCATGCCCTGGACCCACGCTTTTCCCCTCCCCACTTTCCCTCACGGCACACACACACTTTTCTTTTCCTTCAATGTCAAGCGATATGAGCACGTTCCTGCAATTTATTTCTCTGTTGTTCCACGTGGCCCTCTGATTATTTGTTCAAGCTACCAAAAAAAATATAGGAAATTAGCTGGGAATTAGGCGATTGTCACGCCCACGCGGCAGAAAAGAAACGAAAAAGAAACAGCAGCAGAGGCAGCAGCAGCAGGAAGTGCCACAAAGGAAGCCACTAAATGTAGTCTACTTTTCGGCTTGCTTTAATTATTATTTTTTTTCATGAGGAAAATTTGTATTTTATTATATAAACTTTTGTGGCAACTTAATCTAGTTATACATTTAAGGGGAAAAGCAATTGTATCTCCTGTACACACATAAAATGAATGTTACATATATGGAACGGGTATATACATTATTTACAATATTTATACAAAATTAATGGAATTTTATAGGAGGGATCTAGTAGAGAGATCCAAGAGCGTATTTCCATATCGTGACCTTGCTGTACAGTGACATCTTATTCTTATTATTGGTGCAAGTAGACACGCCATCTTTCCCGCTTTCGCCATCACCGACTGTCGAACCATGGTGGTATGGGTTTTGACGTTTAGTGTCCTGTCCAGTACAACCCCTAAGTATTTGTGCGAGCTCTTGTGCGTAAATGTGGAGCCCAGCGTAGTAATGCCTCCGCAAGAAAGTGTTCCTGTAGCAAACTTAACATTAGCACATTTACTGCTGTTGATGCCTATGTTCCATTTCTGAGACCAGACCTCAAAGCTGCTCACATATTGCTGCAGAGCTTCAGTGGCTAGATTTATGCTTGGACTTCTGGTCAGCACTGCAGTGTCATCCGCGTAGGTTGCTATCAACACATCGTCCTCGTCCAACCCAGTTATTACCCTTGAGGAAGGCATATCGGCTGTATATAGGGTATAAAACGTTGGTCCAAGAACGCTGCCTTGTGGGACGCCTGCACAGATTGGGCGCTTCGATGATTTTGCTCCATTTACAACAACACTAAAACTTCTGTCCTTTAGAAAGCTACTCACCAGCTGGAATAGCTGCGGCGGCAATATGTTTCTCAGCTTAAAGAGGAGGCCATCAAGCCACACCCGGTCAAACGCTTGTTGAATGTCCATAAACACAGCTACCGAATACATTTTTTGCTCCATTGCATCAAGCGCGAAGTTGACCACACGATGAAGTTGTTCTGGCATGCCGTGACCTTGTCTAAATCCAAACTGCCACTTTGGAATTCTTCGCTTTACAGGTTCAAGCTGCACGATGCGGTTCAGTATCATTCTTTCCGCCATCTTCCCTAGCGCTGAGAGCAGGCTAATTGGTCTGTAACCATCGACTTCTGTGTGTTGTTTTTCTGGCTTAGGTACCATGGAGATTAGCGCCGTCTTCCAGCAGGTAGGAAAGTGTCCTATCCTAAGAATGCTGTTGAGGAGCAGCACTATAAATAGCAGGGCTCTTTTAGGCAGAAGTTTTAAAGTCCTGTTGTCCAGCAGGTCCTCACCAGGGGATTTTTTGGCCTTCAGCTTCTTAATTTGCTGCACCACCTCTTGAAATGTGACTGGGCTTGCTGGCAAGGACATTTGAAATGGCATTTCCAATTGTAGCTCGACGGCCCTTCGTGTAACAGCAGACATAAGATTAAATGGCTTAAATCTTTGCTCTAAACTGTCTGCGAAGATACTACTGTGCTACTGGAGTAGCACCAACCGCCTGCTGGATTTTTAGTTGGCGATTTAGGCATGACTACTCTTTTAAATCGGCTTGTAAGCTTCCAGAGAGTAGAGTTGAAAGATGCATCGGGGCCAGCATTTTCTAAAATGTTATCAATGCTCCTCTGCTTGACTTTTGCAAGAACCTTTTGCAAGAACCTTTTGCAAGAACCTTTTGCAGACGGTTTGATAGTCTCAAGTAGGTTTGATGAACTCGAGTATCACCCGTTCTCGCATACTCTCTTCTTACTCTTCTTTTCAGGCGCAGGAGTGCAACGGCACTTGGGGGAAGAGTATCTTGTCGTCGTTGGCTTGGTGAACATTGGTTTACAGGCGCAGCAGAAAATGCAGCCAATTTCTCATAAATATCGAGATTGCATCTTCCATATCATCGGTACTTTTTATTTCCGTGTTGAGGTTGATTCTACTATCTACTATCGTGAAAAGACATGCCGCGCCCCGATCGGCTGCCATATTACAGAAATATAGCGTGCAGAAGAAGCCTATATATTATTGATATGCAAAACCAAACCCAGATCGGTGAAAGATCAACTCTCCCAGGATCGGGAGGATCCAGACTGTGGAGCATCAAAATCTCGACTTTGAAAATGAGGCGCAGAGATATAGCTCCTATGGGGATCCTATGATCTCAGACAAATATAGCCAGATCGGTGAAGGACCAACTCCCACAGGATCGCGAGGATCCAGACTTTCGAACCGCATCAAAATCTCGACTTTGCAAATGAGGCCGATTTTTGGCAAATTTAATGATGTAACCATCATGACTTTTTGTGAAAATCTTGAAAAAATGTATGTCCCTTTTTCCGATTGCAGTCGGTTGGCAGGATATAACAGAGATATAGCGTACAAAAAATAAAACCAATATTTAATTATTTGCCCAACTAAGAGTTCGGGAGGGTCTATCTCGGCGAAATATGTCTAGATCGGCGAAGAGCCTACTTTCCCAAGATCGTTCGGCATCAAATCCACCTTTCCAATCCGCTCGCCGTCCGCAGCTCCTCCGTGGGTGATTCCGCCGTAATTCCTCATCCTATCCTGGGTCTTCCTGCGGGCTAAAGCCATGATGAAACTGCTGTGTCGCGAAGTCACAGCGGCGTCCCCTCCGCTGCAGAAGGGACCAGTGATCGACAGTGGAATGGTTGATTCACGCCCACGAGAAATGTTAGTCGTACCCGATTTCCCCCCGCCCGACGGAGCGCTAACCAAGCATCGTATCCCAGCAGGACAGAAGCGCACCCCTTGCAAGATTCGAACCTAAGAAGCCATCGTCATCCTTCGACCTGGCTATGGCAACCAAGGCAGGAATTACGCGGACAACTAGGCTCTAAATAGATTTCGTTGCTGTTAGTTTTAAGGATATCAATGTTTTCCACTTGTTTATATATTTATACTAGGTTAAGTTATGATGAATAAAACTATATTTTATAATTGTTATTCTTGATTTTTATCGTACAATTGTTATTATAATTGAAATTCTTGATTTTTATTGAATAACTATTATTATAATTGTTATTCTTGATTTTTATCGTATAATTGTTATTATAATTGTTATTCTTGATTTTTATCGTATAATTGTTATTATAATTGTTATTCTTGATTTTTATTGAATAACTATTATTATAATTGTTATTCTTGATTTTTATTGAATAACTATTATTATAATTGTTATTCTTGATTTTTATCGTATAATTGTTATTATAATTGTTATTCTTGATTTTTATTGAATAACTATTATTATAATTGTTATTCTTGATTTTTATTGAATAAATATTATTATAATTGTTATTCTTGATTTTTATCGTATAATTGTTATTATAATTGTTATTCTTGATTTTTATCGTATAATTGTTATTATAATTGTTATTCTTGATTTTTATTGAATAACTATTATTATAATTGTTATTCTTGATTTTTATCGTATAATTGTTATTATAATTGTTATTCTTGATTTTTATTGAATAACTATTATTATAATTGTTATTCTTGATTTTTATCGTATAATTGTTATTATAATTGTTATTCTTGATTTTTATCGTATAATTGTTATTATAATTGTTATTCTTGATTTTTATCGTATAATTGTTATTATAATTGTTATTCTTGATTTTTATTGAATAACTATTATTATAATTGTTATTCTTGATTTTTATCGTATAATTGTTATTATAATTGTTATTCTTGATTTTTATTGAATAACTATTATTATAATTGTTATTCTTGATTTTTATTGAATAACTATTATTATAATTGTTATTCTTGATTTTTATCGTATAATTGTTATTATAATTGTTATTCTTGATTTTTATCGTATAATTGTTATTATAATTGTTATTCTTGATTTTTATTGAATAACTATTATTATAATTGTTATTCTTGATTTTTATTGAATAACTATTATTATAATTGTTATTCTTGATTTTTATCGTATAATTGTTATTATAATTGTTATTCTTGATTTTTATCGTATAATTGTTATTATAATTGTTATTCTTGATTTTTATTGAATAATTGTTATTCTTGATTTTTATTGAATAACTATTATTATAATTGTTATTCTTGATTTTTATCGTATAATTGTTATTATAATTGTTATTCATGATTTTTATCATATAATTGTTATTATAATTGTTATTCTTGATTTTTATTGAATAACTATTATTATAATTGTTATTCTTGATTTTTATCGTATAATTGTTATTCTTGATTTTTATTGAATAACTATTATTATAATTGTTATTCTTGATTTTTATTGAATAACTATTATTATAATTGTTATTCTTGATTTTTATCGTATAATTGTTATTATAATTGTTATTCTTGATTTTTATCGTATAATTGTTATTATAATTGTTATTCTTGATTTTTATTGAATAACTATTATTATAATTGTTATTCTTGATTTTTATTGAATAACTATTATTATAATTGTTATTCTTGATTTTTATCGTATAATTGTTATTATAATTGTTATTCTTGATTTTTATTGAATAACTATTATTATAATTGTTATTCTTGATTTTTATCGTATAATTGTTATTATAATTGTTATTCTTGATTTTTATTGAATAACTATTATTATAATTGTTATTCTTGATTTTTATTGAATAACTATTATTATAATTGTTATTCTTGATTTTTATCGTATAATTGTTATTATAATTGTTATTCTTGATTTTTATCGTATAATTGTTATTATAATTGTTATTCTTGATTTTTATCGTATAATTGTTATTCTCGATTTTTATTGAATAACTATTATTATAATTGTTATTCTTGATTTTTATTGAATAACTATTATTATAATTGTTATTCTTGATTTTTATCGTATAATTGTTATTATAATTGTTATTCTTGATTTTTATCGTATAATTGTTATTATAATTGTTATTCTTGATTTTTATTGAATAACTATTATTATAATTGTTATTCTTGATTTTTATTGAATAACTATTATTATAATTGTTATTCTTGATTTTTATCGTATAATTGTTATTATAATTGTTATTCTTGATTTTTATTGAATAACTATTATTATAATTGTTATTCTTGATTTTTATTAAATAATTATTATTATAATTGTTATTCTTGATTTTTATTGAATAATTATTATTCTTGATTTTTATTGTATAATTACAGAACCCCAAATGAGTGACGAGGAAGGGGAGGAGAAGAAGGGCAAAGGAGACTCTGATGAGAAGAAGGCCGAGTTGAGGCCCGAAACGGCATTCATAACTAACGATGGCGACACCGGAGTAGAGGATGGGAGAACGCCCACACCCACCATTCCAAGCACCACTGCAACGCCTGATGCGGAAGCTGTTGAGCAGGAGCCCAAAGAGATAGCCGCAGCACAGAGTGAAACCAAAGCAGTTAATGATGATGAAAGCCAACCCCTGGTAAAGGATACAGCAGTCCAGAAAGAGGATAAAAGCCAACCCCAGGTAAAGGATGCAGAAGTCCAGAAGGAGAATGAAAGCCAACCCCAGATAAAGGATGCCGCCAAGAAAGACGATGAAAGCAAACCCCAAGCAAAAGATGAAGAAGCCATGAAGGACAAAAGCGAACCCCATCAGGACTTTGCCGCCTACGCTGAGCATGTGACCTATGCTGAGAATGGCGATGCCATCTACACGGACCCCAGCAGCAAGCAGGAGTACAAATGGTGCAACATTAAAAACAGCTGGCTGCCGATGAGTGGCAATGGGGAGGATCCGTACGAGAACGAGTTCTACAAGTGGTGCGATGAGACAAGCCAGTGGCTGCCCAAGACGCAGACGGAGACGGAGCACTACAGGTGGGATGAGGAGCAGCACACGTGGGTGCTCAAGCAGCAGCCGGGTCAAGATGCCGTCTACAAGCTGGATGAAAAGGGCGAACGCACCTACACGGATAAAGATGGGACTGTCTACTTGTGGGATGCTGAGAAGTCGGCCTGGTTTCCGAAGATCGATGACGATTTCATGGCGCAGTACCAAATGAACTACGGCTTCATTGACAACACGAGTGCCGGGGAGAAGGAAAAGGCCGACAAAGAGATAGCCGAGGCGAAGCGCAAAGAGGAGGAACTCAAGCGAATGACGGCCGAGGCAGAGGCGGCCATGGCCAGAGACGAATCTGGTGTAGGACCTGCAGCATCCTTGGGCAAGCGAAAGGCCCCAGAGCCACCAAGTAAGGCATGAGACATGGCCAGAACCTATTTCTAATGTTACATTCCCCTGCAGAATGGTTCGAGATGGATCCCTCGCAGAACACCAAGGTTTATGTGGACAATCTCCCGCTGGACATCACCAAGGAGGAGTTCGCGGAGCTGATGGGCAAGTGCGGCATGGTCATGCGGGACCCGAAGACGCAGCAGCCCAAACTGAAGCTCTACACGGAGGCGGATGGTCAATTCAAGGGCGATGGCCTCTGCGACTACATTAAGGTAAGGAAAAGGAGTACAAACTCCTCTTTTCCAACTTTATTCTTTATTTCACTTTATTTGCTGTGGCTTAACTGTAGATTTAATCTTGCATAAATATTATATGGTAATATTATAATATGTTTATCCATTCGATTTCATATTTCATATTTCTGATTCATATTCTGATCTTCGACTGATCCTCTGCTTAAGTTTCGCTGACTTTTCATGTAGATTCGCATCTCTTTTCAATTCTCTTGGGTGTTGTGTTTTATATATAGTATATTATTATATAGTAATAGTATTTAAAATTGGTTAGTGTACTATTAAAATGCATTTTACTTGGCTATAAAATTGCTTTTGCTTTTGCTTCGATTATCGCTTCATTCTTTTCATTTTAAACAAAATAAAACGTTAGAAAGATCCTCCGTCCGTTTCCATCCAGTTTTGAGGTATTAAAAAATACAAAAAAAAAAAAATTTACATTTAAACATACTTTAATCATTATATATAACCTAAATAGTTAGTACATCGGATTTTTGTATTATCAAAAAAATTCCTTAGTAAATTATTGCTTCTACGGTGCTTCCCCCAGGCCGCTACATCTCGAGGACACACTTATGTGGGGGGAAGGCAAACGAGGGATCAGTAAGGACTCTGCTAGTCATTCCCAACTTTCTATAGTTATATGAGATATTTCCATATATTTGTGTGCTCTAATTTGTAAAATTCTTCGTGATTTATGGGCTTTAAAATTGCTCGATATTCTATATAGTTTATAGTTATATATTTGGGTGGGTGTGGGCGTGGGTGGGAAGTGGGAGTGCTGTGTATGCCGTTGTGGGTGTGGGTGTGTCTATCCTAGACCTATATATAGGATATATTCTATATATATAGCATATAGTATATATGTTTACTGTACAGTACTACATAGAGCTAGAGCGAAGTTCCCATAGAGATTAAGTGTTTCCCGGTCGCTCGAAACGATTTCCAAATGTTTATTGCGGGGACATCGCTCGACTGCGGATCAAATGCAAATGAAACTGGGTTTCCCTCCCGGAGCGATGCCCGGTTTGTTAGTTCCCTCCTTTCCTTTCCTCTTCTATCCTCTTCTATCCTCTGCTATCCTATCCTTCCTTTCTTCTCCTTGTAAATAATACTTTTGCGTGATTTTTTTTCTTCTATTAAAAGCAAAAAAAGCAATTAAAAAAAGGGGATATCGGCCCAAGCGGTAGTACGGATACTGAACCAATTCTCGAACGATATGTCTCGGTTAGTAACGGGAATTAGTGCGTCGTCTGTAAAGGAGATTGGAAGAGATATATGTATGTAGGACCAATGAGATCCTACTCGGCGTCATTCAATCGCATGGCCTGCTGTATCCGCTTGAGCTTCTTTTCGTTCTGCTCGCGCATCTTCTGCTCCTTGAGCTGCTTGCGCCGCTTGCGCATCTCGATGAACTTCTTCTGGTCCTCGGGACTCAGAGCCGAGACGCGTGAGGTGTACTCGCGACGCTTCTCCGCGAGCGTGGCCTGGACCAAAGCATCGGCGGCCTTCTTGGCGGCCTCTAGCTTGCGGTTCTGTTCGGCTGCCTTGGCCTCCTTTTCCTTCCGCTCGGCATCCTCCTTGGCCTTGCGCGCCTCCTCAGCCTCGCGCATCTCCTTCTCCAGTGGGAGTTTCAGTGCGCGCTCCTCCTCCTGCACCTCCTTGCGCAGTCGCTCCTCCTCCTGCTCCAGCCTCTTCTCATTGGCTTCGCGCTCGGCAATCTCCGCTTCGCGGGCCCGCTGCAGCTGCTCCCGCCGCCTGTTCTCCTCGTGCAGTCGTTCCAGCTCGCGCTGCTCGAAGATGCGCGTCTCCTCCAGGCGCTTCAGCTGCTGGCGCTTTTCCTCCTCCTCCTGCTCGCGACGGATCTGCTCTTGGCGTTGACGCTCCTGCTCCTGCAGCTGCTCCTTGAGAGCCTGTTCCTCCCGCCGCTTGTTCTCGCGGGCCTCGGCCAGCTGCTTCTCTTGCTCGGAGTTGGCCTCAGCTATGCGCTTCTCGTGCTCCTCCCTCAATCGTTGCTCCTCGGCCAGCCGCTCGGCGGCATTGCGACGGTCGATCTCCTCCTGCTCCTCGCGCTGCTTTCGCATCTCCTCCTCGCGGGCACGGCGCTGCTCGGCCTCGCGTTCGCGCTGCTTCTGGATGCGTTCTAGGCGCAGTTTCTCGGCCTCATCGTCAGCTGTGCGCCGACGCTCCTCCTCCGCCTGCCGCTGCTTCAGTTGCTCCAGTTCGCGTTCGCGCAGCTGCTGCTGGTACTCTCGTTCCTGTTGGTCGTGCTGCTGCTTGTCCTTGAGTGCGCGGAGCTGCTGTTCCTTGTGGTCCCTGTCCTGCTGTTCCCTCTGCTGTCGCTCCTGCTCCTCCTGCAACTGCTTCTGCTGCTCCTCCTTCACCTGCTTCTCCTGCTGCTCCTTCTGGTCATGGGTGGCCGCTCGCACGCGCAGCTCCTGCACTTCAGGGTGTGGCTCTTGCTGCTGTACCTGATCCCGCTCCCGCTCTCGCTCCCGTTGCAATCGCTGCTGTTCCTCCCGCTGCTTGCGCTGACGCTCGCGACGCAGCTGGCGGTTCTGTTCTTGGCGCTCCTTTTTGCGCTGTTGGCGGCGTCTCTCCTTCTGGCGCTGGCGCTGCAGCTTGCGGTCGTACTGGGTCATCTGCTGGGGCGTCGGCGAGGCGGGCAGGACATCGTTGCTGTGGTTGTTGGCCAGAGCAGCTGGCGCAAGGGCAACTGTGGGTGCGACGGTGGTGGATGAGACGCGTGGACGCTTGCGAGGACGCTGCTGGGGAGTCTGGTGGGAGTTGACATCGTTGGGGTGCACCGGCTGTTGGCGGTTTCGTGGCTGATTGCGACGATTGTTCTTGCGGCGACCGGGAATGATCATTTCCTCATCGCTGCCCTCGGCCTTCACCCGACGATGGTATCTGTAAGACAGGAAAATACTCATTAATTTTCATTATACTCGTTTCAGGTGGAATCTGTTCATCTGGCGCTGAAGATCCTCGATGATTATGACCTGCGGGGCCACAAGATTCGCGTGCAGCGCGCCCAGTTCCAGATGCGCGGCGAATACAATCCCGCGCTCAAGCCCAAGCGCAAGAAGAAGGACAAGGAGAAGATGCAGAAAATGAAAGAAAAGTGAGTTGCCGAGGGAGGCGAGACTCCTGTATCCTTACAAGTTTCTTTGCTCTTTGGCAGATTATTCGATTGGCGTCCGGACAAGATGCGCGGCGAGCGCTCGAAGCATGAAAAGACGGTCATCCTCAAGAATCTCTTTACCCCAGAGCTCTTTGAGAAGGAGGTGGAGCTCATCCTGGAGTATCAGAACAACTTGCGGGAGGAGTGCGGCAAGTGCGGAATGGTCCGCAAAGTGGTCATCTATGATGTGAGCTTAGCCAAAGGAAACTCTAGAGAGCAACCAAATAATCGAGTCACTTTTATGCATCTTTCGTTGCAGCGCCATCCAGAGGGCATTGCTCAGATCAACATGTCCTCCCCGGAGGAGGCCGATCTGGTCATTCAAATGATGCAGGGACGCTTCTTTGGCCAGCGCCAACTGACCGCTGACCACTGGGATGGCCAGACCAAGTACAAGTGAGTGAAAAGTCACTGCAATACCAAAAAGCGGGCTCTAATTGTGGCCTCATTTCAGGATCGATGAGTCGGCTGTGGAGGCACACCAGCGCCTGTCCAAGTGGGACGAGTACTTGGCGGCCGAGGAGGCGGATAAACAGGATAAGCAGGATAAACAGAATGCAGGAGGGGAGAGTGCAAGTGCTTAGGGCTAGCGATGAACCGTGGCCTTACCTGCGATCCTTGTCGTTGCGATCGATTATCTCCAGGACCACCTCATTAGCCCGCTCGTTGGGATAGGTGGCGTTCCAGCGATTGTAGATCTTGTAGCGGTTGGCCTCGCTCACCTTCGGCATCTTGTGCTGGCAGATGAACCGCAGCTTGTCCGGGCAGGAGCGCGCCGACCAGCGGTACTTCAGGCTCGGATCGTAGACGGCGCAGTTGTTGTCGTTGGGCTGGCTGTTGGAGATAAGTTGCACATAGCTAGAATTGTTGCTTAAGCGTTAAATCAATGGAAATAAAGAAGGAAAGGACAGAGCATCTGAAGGAGCGCATCACTTACGTGGGATCCATTTGGCTGAACGAGTCGTAGGTCAGGTTGCGCCCGCTCATGCTCCACTGCCAGAGATGGTTGCGGTGGTCAAAGGTGGCCCCAATCCACACTGGCTCGCGATCTAATCATTTAAGTTGAGATAAATTTCCCCGTGAACACACAGTTGCCCATCGGATGCCCCTCACTCACCTCCTGTCTGGGCATCCTCCTTCTGCAGGAATGTCCTCAGCTTGCGGTCGGCGTACTTCAGGGGCTCGGCCAGATTGGCGTTCTTGTCCTTGCAGAAGAAGTGCGCCTCCAGCCAGCTGCTGCGCTGGCTCACCAGCGAGTAGCAGTCGGTGCCCACGCGCTGAAACTGCGGCGGGCACATGGCGTACATGCGGCGCTTGTTGGGCCGCGCCGACGGGGCCAGTGCACCCAGGGCCTGGGCCGGCGAGGGGCCATCGAAGCTGACCGCCGCGCTGGCTCCGCTGGCATGGAACTCCGCCCGGATTGTGTGTGCAACTGCGCGAGATAACGAGATGCTCAATAAATCATGCCGCATGTGCAACCGCAAACCGCTACTCACATAAAACTAAGATAAATACTTGACAGCACAACATTCTATTGCTGCCACTCATTGTGATTCCTTCTCGTTGATGGGATTTTCTTCTGTTGATGGCACTGTGTTTCGTGGAAGATTCTCTGGTGGATGCTGGATGCTGAATGGTGGATGTTGGATGGTGGATGGTGGCTGGTAGTTGGTGCTTGCTGGTGGCTTCTCCTTGCTGTACGCTCTTTACATCGCTCAACCGGACGAGTGGCTGGAAGATGGAAAAAAAAACGAAACGAACGAAATGAGCATTCGTTAATCTCTCAACTCGTCTGCTTATCATAATTTTGTGTTGCTGTTAGATTATGCAAATATTTATCAGAGAGCCTCTTAACAAGTGTTACCGCTGATGGATGGACCTGCGAACGCCTCCACACTTTGCCAAGAAGACAAATTGAGCAAGCGATATAATATATTTGAACAGATTTATTTTATTTATTGGTCATCTTCGTCTTCATTTCATTCATAAGCAACTCTTGGCCGCCAGAAACTGGTCGGCACTCGGCCGGGCGTCTCCTCTTTGCCTTGTCAGTGGCTCATTTGCTATGGCTTTTGTGTAGAATTTCAATTAGCACTTTCATAACTTTAACCACCTTGTCAGGTGAGAGACAACATGGGTCCGGTCCGGTACGGTCCGGTCGTCTGCCACTGCCACCGATGCTCGTTGTTGCATTCTATTTTCAATTTGTTGACACACTGCCCACAAGAGTGCGCTACTGTCTGGTCTCAGTGTGTGCGTTGCAGTGACCCACTTTGGCCCAACAAATGACTTCGAGTGGCGTGGGTTGATCCGCAAACTGTTTTACCAGAGCGTTGTGGGGTTTCGGGGCTTGGCGGTGAGGGATGGGAAGTGGGCTATTCTTAGCTAAATAGATACTCCCTTGCCATTCATCCACTTAGATAAATTGATATCTTTTCAAGCGTGTTTTATCATTGCATTTACGAATAGTGTATCTGTGCAAAAAAGTCGTGAAGGAACTCCAACGTGTCCTCTCTGGGATGTCACTCGAGAGTGGGGAAAGATTGGCTTAGTCGAAACCGGAATTATTTTATTGAGAGCAGCCCCAACTGGTGGCCGAAAAGCAGAACTAAAGGAGTCAGTCTTTGGTCTCCGAGTACCGGGGATTTCAAAGGTCTATATAAACTGGCACGGCATTACGCCACAGCGGTGCTAATCAGGTAGCCATTTTCTCGATCAAGGCCGACTATGTATCCGTCCCAAATGGATGGAAGAATGCCTCTCAGTCCGACATGGACGAGAAGGAGTAAGTGGTATGTTTCGGAACGTCCTGTAGTCCAGGGACTTTGCCATTCAGTGTACGATTCAATTTTCTTTGGCATTTTATAATGACAAACTTTTCCAGTTTAAAACGAAAGTAAAAATGAAATATGTACGAGTATGTATTTATCGGAAGATATTCCACAGTTTTTGCCGACATTTTCCCCTTAAAATTAATCTTCAATTCATGAAAAATGCATGACTAAAAAGCATTCAGCACGTGCACTTATCAAGCAGGTCTCCCAGCAGCATACTCGTACATACGAGTCCGTATGTGTTTGTGGGCTTGATTGTGTCATTTTAATTGAGCCATTAGAGCGTGTGGCTAATTCAGCGCTGCTCCCGTCGCGTACCATCCCATGCCATCCACTCGCGAGGAGACAAGTCAGGCAGATAGACACACGTATGCACACGACTAATCATATATAATTTCTGTAAAATAATGCAGGCCCGCGAAGACACAACAAATTAAAAGGGGGAAGGGGGGAAACAAAGAGTTAAAGAAGTAAACACAAGCCGGCTTTCTGCTGCGGGCCACCACGACAGTCAGCCAGCAACTCGCTCGACGACTTTGCCAGACACGCTGGCTTTAGCCGGGCCGGTTCGGGTGGGGCTGTGGCTGTGGCTGTGCCTTTGGATACTATGGTTGTGGCTGTGCCTCCGGCCTGGTCTTGGCCGACAGCAATCGACAACGACAACAAATTCCTCAACGATGACGTCTTGACATTCATTATGGGCTGCTACCGATCTTTGCAAGGTCCAGTAGTTGTAATTGTCGTCTCTGCTGTCTGTCGTACTGTCTTACTGTCTTACTGTCTGATTGTTTGCTTATTTGTTTACTTGCTCGCTGGCTGCCTGGTTTGTTAGCTCACCCCCATGATGGTGATGATGACGACGGGAACTCGGCGAGCGATAGACCTTCAAGGCGGCGCCGACGTTCGTCCATTACAACTCGACATTTGTTTGAGTGGCTAATAAAAAATACAAAAAAAAAAAGAGACGCCACATCACCCACACACAAAAAGGCACGGAGTGGGCGATATTTGACTGATTTATGACCCACTTTGGATGCAGTTCTCTGTGGGAGAGCGAGCAGACGACATTCAAATGGCATTTGAGACACAACCAGACCAGTGTGCCCATGGGCCATGAGACTTGTGAATGGGACACACGCACAGCTGGCTGCCTGGCCTTGATCTTGAACTTGGGGCTGGAGCTGAAGCTGGGGCCGGGGCTGGGGCTGGGGCTGGGGCTGGGGCTGGGCCGCGACGTCAATCTGTTGCGGGTATCTGGTATCTGTGTCTGGCTCTGGCTCTCTATTACAGCCTCCACGAAACGTTTGCAGTTCAGAATTTGCTTTTAATTGGATTTCTCAACAAGTTCCAGAGAAACTTAAAAAGCCACACACTGACACGCGGCAAATCAATCAAACAGGCTCCCCATCCCCATCCCCAAACAAATCAAAACCCGAAACCAAAAAAAAAAGAGAACCAAGAGGCTTAATGCCAAAAGAGGTATACGCGTACAACTTTTTAAAGCTGAATCTGGGCAATCAGGCAATCAGGCAGGCACGCAGGCGGGCGGCCAGAACCTTTTTCATAACCTTGCCCAACAGTTGGAGGTTAAATCTAAGACCATCAAAGCAGCGACACATCGGGGCATGGACGACTCTGCATGGGAATGGAAAACGCACGTGTGACCCGCTTCAAGATGTGTGATAAATGAGGCACAGAGTCTTCTCGGGTGGGGTATGGCTTTCGGCGGTGGTTTCCTCGATTCGGGAACTCAATTTACATTTATGAGGTGCTATTTCTGCTCTGCCTGGGAATTGACATAAATTATGGAGTTCCAAGAAGTGTTTATGGCCATTCGATGATATATGACGTGTAATTTGTGCGTAATTATGATTCCTTCAACAAGAACCGAATGGGAGTGGGAGTGGGAAACAGGAACAAGAACGGAGGAGAGAGTATGAGGAGGCTTCTCCTAATTGAGATCTCTTCAGCAGATCATCAGCCACACGCCCACGCAGTCGTGTTCACACACACACATCAATCGGCCATTCATCGGCCAAGTATAGTCATTGATCCATCAATCAAATACCCCATCGAACTCGAGTTGAAAGCAAAAGTTGAATGGCTTCCCCAATGGCAACATCTTTGGACTTAACCTCTTCACGTTGGGGTTCAATGCAAACCGCTGCCAAACCTACAAATATTTAAAAGCAGAACTTATAATAATCTCTATTTGGGGAAGTGGACAAATTGGAGGCATTAATCTTGACAATACTCCTCGTCCGAGTATGTACGTCCGTTGGGGGAGTTCCTGTACGGGCCGTGCCATAATCAATTATGAGGAATCTGCTGAACAAAATTAACCCGTTCTTGGCATAATTAAGTTGCCAGCAAAATGAATTTGCATAATTTCTGTTGCTGTTGCTTTTTCTGTTTCTGTTTAACTGCGAACTTAACAAACAGACAGACAGACAGACAAACAAACAGGCCAAATCGATGGCACAAATTGTTGACTAAATACCAGTTTGCGGTTTAATTAAAGGTAAACGTATAACGTAAATGCATACATATGTATGTATTTATGTGGATGGAGCTCGAGGAAGTTGAAACATTTATAGAGACAACATACTTTGCCTGTTTTCGCTTAATTAATTTATGCGCATTTCATTGATTTACGAGTATTATATGCAGCCGCAACTCGAACCGAACCAAATAGTTTAACAGCAAAAGCCAGCAAAAGCCAGCAAGCCAGCAAGCGAGCAAAAATGGAAAACAAAATGGGAAAAGCAGAAGCGGTGTCCCCACAAATGGCAGCCATAAATTGTAGTGGCGATTTTCATGTGGCAAATCACAGAGTGGCAATATAATTTATACGCAACTTTGCAACAGATTCCCGACAATCACCAGCCAGCCACAATTGCAGTCACCTTCTCCGAGTGCTCCAAGTGCTCCGAGTGCTCTGCTCTTCCATCTCCATTGCCATCTTCGTCTCCATTTCCCCTTCGTGCCTCAATAGCATTGCAAAGTGGCCGAGAAACGTTTTCACAGCTGCCATCGCCCCGCATCCCCTTCCAATTGGCTGCGTTTTCATGCTTCACCTGTGCGAAATCCATCTAAGAAGAGCCAACACGTAGCTATCTCCGCATCTATCATGCCTTCTGACTGGAGCTTTCTTTCGCCGTGCCGCAGTGCCGCGCCGCGCCGCGCTGTGCTGCCGTCTTTCCTTCCTGCCATTCATTCATTCATTCAGTCATTCTTGGGCTTGCCACACATCGCCTTTGGCTGGTTCTATCCCACTGATACCTACCCCCCCTCTTGGGCACCCTGCCGTCCTTTCTCCCCCGGCAGCTGGAAAAGTGAAAGTCATTTAGTTGCAGACAAGTCATTGGGGGGCCTGTCGCTGTGGTCCCCATGCGACGCATGGCGTATGCGCAATATCAAGTATACGCACGGCGAAGGCATGAGGCTGCATTTTTTAATTGAATTCGACTGCATTTAAAGTTTAAAAGTTGAAATTCATTTACAGTTTCGCCCGAAAACTTTTTTAATGAGTTTAGATGAATTTTAAATGGATTTCTCTCTTCTCTTCTCTCTTCAGCGGATAGCACTCAATGGAGCAGCCTGTAGATTGTTGATTAGTTCTTTGGGTGCGGCACAGCAATAGCCATACTCGTATAGAGTGACCGCACTAAAAATTAAAGCACCCCGAGGCATTCTGCGAAGCTCTTGGCTCGGCTAAAACTCATAAATCCAATTCGGGATTATGTGATTCATGGAAGAGCCACTGGCAATTCATCAGAACTCATGCCCCAGGCATCACAAATCAACTCAACTGCAATTTGGATCCCTCAAAATTCACCTATCAATCACTTCTACCTGCTTCGGAGCCCCACAATGGCAGTGGAGCACAGTCAGAGTCCTACCCCAAAAGTTATGACATAACTCAGCTTTCAGGGTCCCCGGTCCCCGGTGCCCGGTGCGCGGTGCCCGTTCCCTGGTACCTCTTTAACCACATTCGTATCTGCTGCAGCCATCACTTGAGGCTGAGGCCTGACTTTGAATCGCAGCACGTAACATTACCCCGGCTCCAAGATATCTGCCGAGTGTCTGTGTGCATTTCAAACTGCGAGACAACTACTGGCAACGTCATCGACCAAATAAACTGTCGGATTGACTCGGTATCCGATTCGAGGCAGATTTCGCACTGGGCGCAGGCGCCGGCGGCTACGTCAGCGTCGCATCTATGTATAACACGTACAGCACTTGAGACCCACCAGCAACAACTGGAACTGGAACTGTGACAGTGACTGGATGAAGTGATGTCATGCCGCTTAAATTTATGCCGCACTATTCGCTCAAGGGGCGCCCCAGTCTATCTATCAGCATCAGTCGTCGTCGGTTACACTTTGAAAAAAGCACGTGAATGCCCACATTCTATATTGCCTACCTACAATATATCTTGGATCTGTATAAGCTATATTCTTCCTGTTCATTTTCCCACATTTTCTCCGAGTGTGGTTCCCAGCGATGATGTAAATTCCGTCTGAGCGATCTTCGCATTCTCTTTCTGCCTATGTAAATAGATCTGCTTTTTTGTATTTTCTGCCGCGTTATATATAGCCGTGTATATATGGGTTCTGTGTGTCGTTTTCATTGACATAAAACTGTCACATGAAGTATTTTTAATTTTTTTTTTATAATTTTTTGTTGCGTTCCAGCAACGGAACTGTAAAAATATTTTCTATTAATTTTTTCAAGTTCAAAACTTGGACAACAAAAACACGAACAAAAAAAAACGACACTGGGAAAGCAAATATTTGTGAAAATTAAGTCTGGAAAAGCAAACAAATTTTGCGGAATTTTGTTTTCCGGATTCTGGCTCGTGTTTTTTGAGGGAGCGAAGGGAGGGCCAGCCCCTCCACAAATTGTTTTGGCGATGGCATCTGAGGGCCAAGTAAGTTGACCATTTGGCTGGCCATTGTTTGTCTGTTCTGCTTGTCGCCGGTGAAGCATCGCGTCCAGCATCTCCCACTGCCACTCCTCGGGTTCTGCTCTGGAGCTGGTTTTGAAGTTGAAGTTGAAGCGGGAGCAGGACATTTTATGGTTGTTTGCAGTTTTTGGGGAGGACCACAAATTTGTCGGCGCGTGTCATGACACACACTTGACACTGGACCGTGGACCATGGACCATGGACCATGGACCATGGAGCAAGGACTATGCTCGACACACTGCTCTTCATTTCTGGGTAATTTGCCTGAAATGCAGGCGGCGGCTTGCTGGCTGGGATCTGGCCTCCATTATCGACGCACGCATTTGTGTACGAAATCCAGGGTCCTGGTTCTGCTTCTGGTTTTTGGTCCTGTTTTTGGGCCTTGCTCCTTGTTCTTTCTATTCTAGTTGTTCGTGTCAACGATAAATCAAAAGTTTTATCTTGTTTGTTGACCACACTCTCCCCATCCCATCCCACCCTTCTGCCACACATGACTTGGCCACAAATTCATTTACAGGCTGGAAATTTGTTGCTTCGTTCCTGGTTTTTGTGCTTGTGCTGCAGAAAATGCTGGGTTTGCATGGGGCATAATCGCATTATGAAATGAAATATTCTTAGTCCGGAAATATTCAACACATCACGTATACGCAGAGCTGACAATGGCCGACAGGCAGGATGGCACTCCTGTTACTACAATGTTGAATATCCGCTTCACATTCCGCAGACACAAACAAAACATTTTCATTTCCAATTGGACCGTTTTTTCCACACACACACACACACACACACACCCGCTTTTCCTGGTTTGGTGCATTGAACCTACGCGCTACAGGACACGAATGGAAAATGATTTCCGCTCGGCAGTAATTTATAGCCGACGGACTACGGACTACGACTCCTCCTGCTCCTACTCTCACTCCCACTTCAACTCAGTGAAGACCCCACCAGCTGCTGCTGCATCATTTTATCCCCATACTCTTTTATCCGTCGATTTGTTGACTTTACGGCTATGCAAAGTCTGGCACACAAAAACGCCAGTGGGCGTGGCATTAGTGCCTACTAATGGACGAGGGAAGATGATGATGCTGATGCTATTCTCGACACTCTCCGAGTGCCGCATTTGGCATTTTCTAATCTATATTTAAATTTTCCACCATCAAATGTCAAGGCAAACCATTCCGAATATCGCCACGAAAATCACAAATCAAACCCGATATCTCTCAAATCAAATTACGTTCCTAGCCAATCCGTAAAATTCACAGTCCGCAAATGGTCAAAACAGGCGAGCAAAAAAAAAAAACAAGAAAGAACTGTGACAGAACAAATGGCATGCAAATTGGCAGCGATCTGCGAGCCAGTCATAAATGAATTAGACGAGAAAATCTTCAGTGACTAACCCATGACGGAGGTGTGCTTCGTTCAGAGATACACTGTACTTGCCACTGAATCATCTGCCAAGCCAGGCCAGTGTTGCGGTCTACTCCATTGACTCATTCAATTAGCCATGCAAGTGCAGCCAAGATTAACAGACAGTCCCAACATACATACATATGTATATACATATATCTGTTGGTAAGTGACGACTTTGAAACAAATTGTTCAAATATTGGCCGACTATCAATATTTGCCCGGGCATTAAGCAAATGGCTGCGTTAAGGCCATCCTGTCGCATGAAATTTATTACGCATTCGCCACGTGCACCGTCCTATTGGTGTGTTTATTCAGTTATTAATTTATATGCCACACCATTCGCACGAAAAATGTCCACTCTGGCATCGCCACCTTATCGCTAACTTATGGCAGTGACGCTGGCGATGACTGTCGCCTGGAGGTGCCCCATTCTGGCCGTGCAATACAAAAAAAAAAATGCACATGGCGATAGTGCCACAAAAGAATCAACATAAATACTCGGCTGGGCTTCGGGTTAGCGCTTTCCCAAGGGGTTGGCTGGGGGAAGTGGTGAAAAGTGTGGAAATAAATATAAATAAGTGTAAATGAAAACCGTACACTCCAACCGGAGACGAAGACGGAGGTGGAGGCGGAGACGGAGACGCAGCAAAACCAAAAGATGAAAACCAAAATCGCCGCATGGCATTGCGCAAAATGTGCGGCAAATATTGACAAGCCGCAAAGCAAAGGGAAAACACAATGGCAGTGGGGGCGAAGAGGCACCAGCAGTGGCAGTGGCAGTGGCTGTGGCTGCGGCTGGGGCAGCCACAATTGCGTGGGTGTTGGTGGTGGCTTTGTGGCAGTGGTTCCCGGGTCGGGGTGGTGGCTATGCCCTGCCGCTCAAATTGCATTAGCAAAATGAACTGCAGAAACGATATGCAACCGATATCGCTGGAAAATTTATTCACACTTTTATTGCTGTATAGATTTTTAAGTGGAAATTTATTCCGACTCTGGGAAAACTCGAAAGTAATAATTGACAAGGTAATGGATCGGTTATACTCCACGGACTGGCCAGAGCACCAGCATATTTTTATATAATAATTTGCTTACCTATTTGAGAGATGCCTTCGAGAGTCCGTTAACAAGCAGAGATTCGAGTTGAAAGAACTGCAATAAAAAACGGAGAAAAGCCAATGAAATATTTGCAATAGAGAGAGCACATTTTTCAAAGCATTTTTATGGTCTGGCCATCAACATTGTACTTAATTGATGCACAAAAGGCAAAGCCATTTCAATTTCGATGCCCGGAAAAAAGCATTTTGACATATTGAAAGGCGAATAAAAATGGCAGCAAAGTAGCACTGGGCGGCGTCAGCGAAATGTGGTCCAGATTCAATAGTGATAATAATAATAATAATAAAAGTGAATCGGCTGCACTTGAGCGTGTCCATCCAGGATGGCAGAGCTCCTCCGTACTGCCTCCGCCTTACGTTTGATGTGGCAGTTCTTTCATAATTCCCCCAAGCTGCATTTCTGTTCCTTTGTTTGTTTGGATTGCGGATTGCGGTGGATTCGATGTCTGTCAGCTGGAAATGTTTATTTGTGGAGATATCCGAGGGGCAGCCTCAGCCCTCTTCCCCCTCGAGTTGTACCTAAATATTTGCTGATGCTGGGTCTCCTCTTCTAGTGTTTCTGCTTATGCAAACTGAAAGTCCGTAATTATGCTCTGCTCAAGAAGGTCTCTTCCTTTTTAGCACAAATTTAGCATTTGTTTGTGGCAGGCGGAGGGGGGTAGCGCAGAGAGGAAGCGGCACAAAAGAAGTCTAGAACCCGATAAAGTAGTCGACGCACAAAAATATTGCATAAATTTGCCGCCAGCTTTGAAAAGTTGATTTGAATTTAAATTTGAATCGAAATCGAAATCGGAGCAGACTCCCGTTGCTGTGCGATGATGATGATGCTCGCGTCGTGAAGCAAACAAAAATTGAATTAATAAATGTGCCACCGATTGCCACCCCTGTGTTCGCTGTTTCCTCTGTTTTGCCCCTCCAGCCATGCGTCCTGCTCCTCTTCCTGATTTTAATTTCGAGTTTTTGCGTTTAATTGCCATTTTGCATATGAGAGAATAAAGAGAGAGAGAGGGGGGGCGAAAGAGAACGCTGCTCCCCCGTTCAATTGGTAATTTATTAAATTCCGCTCAAGTTTTGGCAATAAATTTCAATTCGTTCAGCTCAACCCAAAAATGGTATTGTACAACAATCAAATACGAGTATAGGCGCAGCCTCATAATTTGTGTCAATTGAGACTAATCAAGACGATGGCGATGGCTATCTTTTTGCTATTTTTGCCCCCCCAGATAGGGAGATAGGGAGTCAGTCACCTGAGCGGGCTATGATTAGATAGGCGGGGCCGAACATGACGTCGAATGGGGGGTGGGGGCCGGGGCGGGGGCGGGGGCTATGCTCCACGAGTACACTCAGCCAAGTGCAAATAGAAAGTGAGTCTAGGCTGTCTGCCCGGTGCCAAAATGATACGGTCTTGTTGCCCAACTCGTTGCCTTCCATTCCGTTCAACGCCATAAAGGACAAGCTAAATTGCAACTTTGTCTCTGTGCAATCTCTTCCATTCGATTTGCATAACGGCCAGGATAAGACAAAGGGAAAGCTCCCCTCCCCCCATTTTTGTCGAGAAAAACAAGCAACAATTGCGGAAAGCGGACAAATGTCAAAGTGCACGGTAGTTACAGCAAAACTTTGCAAAGTGCAAATGCTCTGAAAAGTTCTAAAAATAAACATGAAACAAATGCATTACAATGGGAAGGGGGGCTGGGGGTTTGGGTTGGGGCTTCGCCACTCAAACATTTCACAGGAGGCGGGCCGAAAAAGTATGGATAAAGAGAAACGAACAAAAGAACAGTGTTGGGTAAGGGAAGCTCATGCCGTGTATTGATGACTATCGATGAATGCAACCCTGACAATGACAATGACAATGACAATGATTAAATTCTGCGAGAAAAAACTTCGGTGCGAAAAGCAATAGTCGTTCAACTGTTTATAAATTCACAAAAATCTAGTGGTATATTATCTCCAGGCGGTTCTGTTCTTTAAGTGAGTACAAACGTATTTCCAAGGATAAAATATACATATACCTCCAAGCGAAACCATTTTCATAAGCCGGCCACAGAGAAAGCTGTAAGTTGGACAAAAAGACCTCCAAAAGGCAGTTATGTGTTTGCCTCCACTGCAGATTCATTGCTGATAAGAGAGGGCCTACATATGTATGTACGCGTACGAGTATATTCAATTTTCTTTATGGCCACGTCATTGTTTGAATATGTGCCATCATCTGTAGGGTAAATATGTATGTATAAGTGTGTACAAGTGGAGACGAATGGTTCGGTCATAACCTCACTCAGATGCCGCACTTTGTGGATTGTGGATTGTGGACTGTGGCTACGTTGTAGGCCAAGTAAACTTGTTTTCTTAACAATAATAACTTACAATAATTGTTATTGTTGTGGCTGGCATTTTACACAATTTGACAGATTGACAAACGTCCGAATTGGCTTCCGTGGGACGGCGGGCAGTCGAATGGCCAGCGACCGACCATTGACCATCTGGCGACGGCTATGGCCTGCTCTGCTCTGCTCCTCGGGGCCTCTAATTACGCAAGTTTGCATTGATTGTGTCATTAGCCATTTGCAGTGACCGGAGATCGATCACTTGACGCCGTTTAAGCGGCAGAAAAAGTCGTGCAGACTTTGATTTTGATTGGCTTTGGCTGGCTCCAGGAGATTTGTAATGAGGCCTTAACTACATGACCATTATCCAAAAACTGATCAGCGATTAGGCTTTTTTTTTGGGGGGAATTCACTGGAGTCAAGAATCTTTCACTTCATCGTTAGTCCCCCAGTGACCTGATGCGAGCAGAGTTCATGTGGCTCCGTTAGCAAATCTCTGGGCAGGAGAAGGAGAACGTGACTCCTCCAACCTGTCCGCTAGTTCCGGCACCGAACGGCCTGTCATAACCATTATGCCGCCCTCCGTCAACGGATGGGCTTCCAGAGAACACTGGAGCCGTGGAGTGGACCCGACCCCAGTAGATCGTGCCACAGACACTCGGAGGAGTTCTAAGGCGAAAATGCGATTCGCTGGCGTGGGCTTAACGGTCCAGAGATTGCCCCGAGCGACTGGAGTCTCGAGTCGAGTCGAGTCTCGATATCTCAATAGATTTATCTGGTCTCCTCGGAAACTGGAACAATTTGTTGTGCTTTGTGCCTGTCCAGCCGACGGGGCAATTTGCTGGCGACTGAGGCACTCGGGGGCACTTGTGTGCACTTGGGGAAAGGAGAGTCAGCGACTTCTATAGTAATCGGCTGCTCAATCAATTTGCTGCAGGTTTGTCCAACTGTCGTCTGTCGTCTGTCGCTCTGTTTGCCGATTTCAGCTGCAAGCTTATCGAATTAATCGTTTGAATTAGCCCGTTTTGGCGGGGAACTGCGCTGAACAGCTCTGAACAGCTCTGGACAGCTCAATTTGCACTGGTTGTAACGTATCTTTGTATCGTTGCATCGTGGTTGCATCGAGGAATGGTGGCATGGTTGGATGGTTGCTCTATCCTCTGCCAAGTGACCAAGAGACCGCTGTGGAAATTGCGGCAATTATTTTGTTTGTCGTCGGAGCAAACAACTTGTGAAATTCTCCCACCAGAGATGATGCTCCTCTTGTTAATTATGAATGAAATTTATGCGACAATGGGCGCAACCGCAAATGCGACCGCGCAAATTTGCATGGCAGGGGCATGCAGGGGCATGCAGGGGCATGCAGGGGCATTCATGACCGAACAGAGCCTTAAACGGTAGCGCTTAGAGGCAGACAACAACAGATCGGGCAGATATGGGCGAGTTCTTTGTACAAATGTCAGCCATGAACGCCCACAAAGCACGACCGTCCTCATAAAACATACACATCATCATCATTATCATCATTATCATCATTATCATCGTCATGATCGTAAAGACCATTGAGAGAGAGAGAGAGAGAGAGGGTGGGGGAGGAGGCAATTTGTTCAATTGCATCAGCCTCTGGGGCGTCACAAATGCGAATCTCTGGCAGATCTACTCGTAGCTGTCTGGCATCTAAAGTACTCAGAGGCTCGTACTCGTACTTGTACTCCTACTCCTACTCCTACATTTCCCTTGCGGTCTGACACAGTAACCTCGTGGCTGGGCCTCCACTCTCCCCACTCGCCCCACTCGCCACACTCCCCTCACTGTTTGCCTTTTGACTGATTAAGTATGCTCCACGTTTCGGCCAATCCATGACGGAGTCGGGAAAATTTGTCATTTCACAGACAATAGCCAACATTTACGAGTAAAACAGGCAGCCTCCACTTGAGAGCCACCGTATGCGGGGCTCTGGTGTGGTTCTGTCTTCGGTTTCTTGGAAATCCATTCAACTGCAAATATTTGCATAACTCATTAGGAGAGATGTACGAGATACGAGAAACGACGAGGGAACATAGATGGCAACAAAAATACATGCATATGGGGCTAAAATGCTGTTAGGCCGTTTTGTCGCGTTCGTGGCGATCGCATAAGGCGAAAATATTTTAATTAGTTTTCGGGGTGTGGCGGAGACATTTTCGAATCGGTGGCTAATTGCTGCTGCCCCCAACAACCCAAGCGAGGCATCGCTTTTGTGCTCATCATTACGGAAAGATTGTCTGAAGATGTTAAGAGAGAGGGTTGAACAGCGGTGGAAGTACGAAAACAAGGGGAGAAAGAGAAGGTCGAAACTTTTACAACACTCCGGGAGTGTTACAACACTAATAATAACTTTCTTTCACAACACTTTTCCGTTCAGAGCTTGACAATCCTTATTTTCACTACTTCGACAGTTCTTGTGAGGATTATTCTACAAAATGTTTATCTACGAGGAGGCTTTAACTAAAGTTGTGCAGCACATGCTGACTCGGAAAAACATCGTGGTGGAGAATGAGTCCCTGGCACTATTGTTGGCCCGCAAAATGGGCGACAGTAAGTACTTCGTAGTTTTGCAAAGCCCAATCGAATTCTCTTAGAGCAGTTTTTGGCCTTCAGGAATTGCCGACATGGCCAGAATGACCTGCGATGGGGCAAGTCACGCCGCCCGCTCCAAGCCGGGATACTTCGATGTGGAGCAGACCTTTATCCGCATGCACATCATGTCCGAAGATCTCCTAGACGAGGTCAAGGCTAACAAGGGCCAGCCGCAGCCCAACATAGTCCTTCCCGATCCGGGGATGTTCGCGCGGGGATATCACACGGTATCGGAACCATTGCTGGGTGGCAATTCGCCGAATGAAAATACCACGCGACCGAATATTCCCATTTTCCTTGAGCCGTTTCCCGGCCTACACACCTACAAGAAGACACCGATGGAACCGGTCATCGAAAAGGACTACTTGGACGCGCGTGAGAGCAAGGCACTGCAACGACTGAACGAGCAGGAGGCTATCAACAAAATATTCAAGAACCAGAAGCCAACTGTGTCGTTGTTAAACGAGCCACGCCGTCGCTATGATGTATTCGACGTGGAGCCGCTCAAGAGACCTGCATATTTGGACGCCCTAATGCCACGCGAGAAGATATTCGAAACAGACGTGTACGAAAACCCAGATCCGATCCCCCGTGATGGTAACTCTTCCTCAGATAATCGTTTCCACTTCTTCGCCATTCTCTAACTCGAACTCTTCTTTGTGACAGGACCCGTGAACCCATTTTTCAGGGAATCGAAATCTCCTAGTACCCCAAAGACGCCCTATCATGTCGACTTGGGAATAATCCCCAAAAAAGTTACCACTCGAAAGAAAATCAATGTGAAAGTGATCGACGCTGCTAGTGGCGCTAAGAAGCGACACCGTTCTGAGAAGAGACAAAAGGAGCACAAGAGATCCAAGAAAGAACCGGAAAGATCTGGCAATAAGGTGAAGGAAGAACCTGTGAAGGTTCCACGAAAAATCGTCACTGCGGATCCACCAAAAAAAGTCGAAGTGCCGAAAGTCGTGATAGACAAGGTCATCGATGAGAAGACGCGCGAAAAAAAGGTTGAGAAGGCTTTCACTTCGGGCACCGGAAACGATATTGCCCGTAAGAAATCCCACCAGCGCAACCCTTCTGAGACGATCAAGAAGCACCAGGGATCCAACAAAGATTCCAAAAGTGACGTCCATCGTGAGAAGGCTCCACAGAGAACCGACACCGCTGATCCACCAAAAAAGCCAAAGTCCAGTTCAGGTATTTGTGAGCTTTGGCTATAATTCAATTTTATTTTTTTCCCTTGATTAACTTCCCATCTCCGATTAAAGGCCACTCGAAACAAATTCAGAACGTTTGTCCTACTGGAAAAACCACTGCTGTGTCGCAGGCAGAGAAAAACAAGGAAGACGCTGCAAAATCCTTGGAAAGAATTTTCGATCAGCTGATACGCCAAGACAAGGCGAAGAAGGAGGCTTCCACTTCACGCTCCGAAAACGATAATTCGCGTAAGAAATCAACCCATAAACGAAGCCATTCCGAGGAAAAACACAAGAAGCACAAGAGATCCAAAAGCACAAAAGATTCGGAAACAGACTCCAAAAGCACAAAAGATTCGAAAACAGACTCCAATACTAAGAAGATTCCACAAATAATTAAAACTGCTGATCCAGCAAAAAATCTAGAGAGCACTAAAGGTATTCGAGGGTTTTAATTATATTTTATTCCATTGCTTCCACTTGATGAACTTCCTGCTTCCCAATATAGTCGCATCGAAAATCCAGCCAACAATCCAGACCATAATTCCCAGCAAAACCACTGCTGTGTCAAAGGTAGAGGAAAACAAGGAAAATTTATTCATGATTTCGAAACCCATGAACAAGGTTTTCGAAGAGCTGAAGCGCCAAGAAAAGGTTGAGCACGTTTCCCGATCCGAGCACAAGCACACGGTGCACAAGAAGCACAAGAGATCCAAGAGCACAAAAGATTCGGAAACAGACTCCAAAAGCACAAAAGATTCGAAAACAGACTCCAATACTAAGAAGATTCCAGAAATAATTAAAACTACTGATCCAGCAAAAAATCAAGAGAGCACTAAAGGTATTCGAGGACTTTAATTATACTTTATTCCATTGCTTCCACTTGATGAACTTCCTGCTTCCCAATATAGTCGCATCGAAAATCCAGCCAACAATCCAGACCATAATTCCCAGCAAAACCACTGCTGTGTCAAAGGTAGAGGAAAACAAGGAAAATTTATTCATGATTTCGAAATCCATGAACAAGGTTTTCGAAGAGCTGAAGCGCCAAGAAAAGGTTGAGCACGTTTCCCGATCCGAGCACAAGCACACGGTGCACAAGAAGCACAAGAAGCACAAGAGATCCAAGAGCACAAAAGATTCGGAAACAGACTCCAAAAGCACAAAAGATTCGAAAACAGACTCCAATACTAAAAAGATTCCAGAAATAATTAAAACTACTGATCCAGCAAAAAATCAAGAGAGCACTAAAGGTATTCGAGGGCTTTAATTATACTTTATTCCATTGCTTCCACTTGATGAACTTCCTGCTTCCCAATATAGTCGCATCGAAAATCCAGCCAACAATCCAGACCATAATTCCCAGCAAAACCACTGCTGTGTCAAAGGTAGAGGAAAACAAGGAAAATTTATTCATGATTTCGAAATCCATGAACAAGGTTTTCGAAGAGCTGAAGCGCCAAGAAAAGGTTGAGCACGTTTCCCGATCCGAGCACAAGCACACGGTGCACAAGAAGCACAAGAAGCACAAGAGATCCAAGAGCACAAAAGATTCGGAAACAGACTCCAAAAGCACAAAAGATTCGAAAACAGACTCCAATACTAAAAAGATTCCAGAAATAATTAAAACTACTGATCCAGCAAAAAATCAAGAGAGCACTAAAGGTATTCGAGGGCTTTAATTATACTTTATTCCATTGCTTCCACTTGATGAACTTCCTGCTTCCCAATATAGTCGCATCGAAAATCCAGCCAACAATCCAGACCATAATTCCCAGCAAAACCACTGCTGTGTCAAAGGTAGAGGAAAACAAGGAAAATTCATTCATGATTTCGAAATCCATGAACAAGGTTTTCGAAGAGCTGAAGCGCCAAGAAAAGGTTGAGCACGTTTCCCGATCCGAGCACAAGCACACGGTGCACAAGAAGCACAAGAAGCACAAGAAGCACAAGAAGCACAAGAGATCCAAGAGCACAAAAGATTCGGAAACAGACTCCAAAAGCACAAAAGATTCGAAAACAGACTCCAATACTAAGAAGATTCCACAAATAATTAAAACTGCTGATCCAGCAAAAAATCAAGAGAGCACTAAAGGTATTCGAGGACTTTAATTATACTTTATTCCATTGCTTCCACTTGATGAACTTCCTGCTTCCCAATATAGTCGCATCGAAAATCCAGCCAACAATCCAGACCATAATTCCCAGAAAAACCACTGCTGTGTCAAAGGTAGAGGAAAACAAGGAAAATTTATTCATGATTTCGAAACCCATGAACAAGGTTTTCGAAGAGCTGAAGCGCCAAGAAAAGGTTGAGCACGTTTCCCGATCCGAGCACAAGCAAATAATTAAAACTGCTGATCCAGCAAAAAATCTAGAGACCACTAAAGGTATTCGAGGGCTTAAATTATATTTTATTCCATTGCTTCCACTTGATGAACTTCCTGCTTCCCAATATAGTCGCATCGAAAATCCTGCCAACAATCCAGACCATAATTCCCAGAAAAACCACTGCTGTGTCAAAGGTAGAGGAAAACAAGGAAAATTTATTCATCATTTCGAAACCCATGAACAAGGTTTTCGAAGAGCTGAAGCGCCAAGAAAAGGTTGAGAAGGTTTCCCGATCCGAGCACAAGCAAATAATTAAAACTGCTGATCCAGCAAAAAATCTAGAGACCACTAAAGGTATTCGAGGGCTTAAATTATATTTTATTCCATTGCTTCCACTTGATGAACTTCCTGCTTCCCAATATAGTCGCATCGAAAATCCAGCCAACAATCCAGACCATAATTCCCAGCAAAACCACTGCTGTGTCAAAGGTAGAGGAAAACAAGGAAAATTTATTCATGATTTCGAAACCCATGAACAAGGTTTTCGAAGAGCTGAAGCGCCAAGAAAAGGTTGAGCACGTTTCCCGATCCGAGCACAAGCAAATAATTAAAACTGCTGATCCAGCAAAAAATCTAGAGACCACTAAAGGTATTCGAGGGCTTAAATTATATTTTATTCCATTGCTTCCACTTGATGAACTTCCTGCTTCCCAATATAGTCGCATCGAAAATCCTGCCAACAATCCAGACCATAATTCCCAGAAAAACCACTGCTGTGTCAAAGGTAGAGGAAAACAAGGAAAATTTATTCATCATTTCGAAACCCATGAACAAGGTTTTCGAAGAGCTGAAGCGCCAAGAAAAGGTTGAGAAGGTTTCCCGATCCGAGCACAAGCAAATAATTAAAACTGCTGATCCAGCAAAAAATCTAGAGACCACTAAAGGTATTCGAGGGCTTAAATTATATTTTATTCCATTGCTTCCACTTGATGAACTTCCTGCTTCCCAATATAGTCGCATCGAAAATCCAGCCAACAATCCAGACCATAATTCCCAGCAAAACCACTGCTGTGTCAAAGGTAGAGGAAAACAAGGAAAATTTATTCATGATTTCGAAACCCATGAACAAGGTTTTCGAAGAGCTGAAGCGCCAAGAAAAGGTTGAGAAGGTTTCCCGATCCGAGCACAAGCAAATAATTAAAACTGCTGATCCAGCAAAAAATCTAGAGACCACTAAAGGTATTCGAGGGCTTAAATTATATTTTATTCCATTGCTTCCACTTGATGAACTTCCTGCTTCCCAATATAGTCGCATCGAAAATCCAGCCAACAATCCAGACCATAATTCCCAGCAAAACCACTGCTGTGTCAAAGGTAGAGGAAAACAAGGAAAATTTATTCATGATTTCGAAACCCATGAACAAGGTTTTCGAAGAGCTGAAGCGCCAAGAAAAGGTTGAGAAGGTTTCCCGATCCGAGCACAAGCAAATAATTAAAACTGCTGATCCAGCAAAAAATCAAGAGAGCACTAAAGGTATTCGAGGGTTTTAATTATATTTTATTCCATTGCTTCCACTTGATGAACTTCCTGCTTCCCAATATAGTCGCATCGAAAATCCAGCCAACAATCCAGACCATAATTCCCAGAAAAACCACTGCTGTGTCAAAGGTAGAGGAAAACAAGGAAAATTTATTCATGATTTCGAAACCCATGAACAAGGTTTTCGAAGAGCTGAAGCGCCAAGAAAAGGTTGAGAAGGTTTCCCGATCCGAGCACAAGCACACGGTGCACAAGAAGCACAAGAAGCACAAGAAGCACAAGAAGCACAAGAGATCCAAGAGCACAAAAGATTCGGAAACAGACTCCAAAAGCACAAAAGATTCGAAAACAGACTCCAATACTAAGAAGATTCCACAAATAATTAAAACTGCTGATCCAGCAAAAAATCTAGAGAGCACTAAAGGTATTCGAGGGTTTTAGTTATATTTTATTCCATTGCTTCCACTTGATGAACTTCCTGCTTCCCAATATAGTCGCATCGAAAATCCAGCCAACAATCCAGACCATAATTCCCAGCAAAACCACTGCTGTGTCAAAGGTAGAGGAAAACAAGGAAAATTTATTCATGATTTCGAAACCCATGAACAAGGTTTTCGAAGAGCTGAAGCGCCAAGAAAAGGTTGAGAAGGTTTCCCGATCCGAGCACAAGCAAATAATTAAAACTGCTGATCCAGCAAAAAATCTAGAGAGCACTAAAGGTATTCGAGGGCTTAAATTATATTTTATTCCATTGCTTCCACTTGATGAACTTCCTGCTTCCCAATATAGTCGCATCGAAAATCCTGCCAACAATCCAGACCATAATTCCCAGAAAAACCACTGCTGTGTCAAAGGTAGAGGAAAACAAGGAAAATTTATTCATGATTTCGAAACCCATGAACAAGGTTTTCGAAGAGCTGAAGCGCCAAGAAAAGGTTGAGAAGGTTTCCCGATCCGAGCACAAGCACACGGTGCACAAGAAGCACAAGAAGCACAAGAAGCACAAGAGATCCAAGAGCACAAAAGATTCGGAAACAGACTCCAAAAGCACAAAAGATTCGAAAACAGACTCCGATACTAAGATGATTCCAACGAAAACCGACACTGCTGATCCACCAAAAAAACCAAAGACCAGTTCAGGTATTTGTGGGCTCTATTCTATTTAATTTTAATGTTTCCTCTCGACGAACTTCCTGTTTTCCATTACAGATCCATCTGGCATCCAGCGTGAGAAGTTACCTGGAATACCCACTGTTGTGCCCCAGGTGGAGAAAAGCAAGGAAAATCGAGTCAAGGTGCACCACAAGCAGAAGCACAAAGAAAAGGTTGAGACGACTTCCACTTCGGGTTCCGGACACGGTAATGCCAGCAAGAAGCGTTCGAAATCGCATGAAGGTAAACAGGCAGAAGAACCAAACAAAAAAATTCGAAAAGTTTTGAACTCTAAATAAAACTGCAACTCGGGTTGGGCTCGGAAATATTATCATTTGAGCGCCAAGACCTGCACTCGACGGAAAAGTGCGAGAAAAAATAATTTATTTCAATTATATTTCACTAAGAGCTGCCACACGTTGCCTTCATTCTGATGGAGCTGCTGTCTGGTGCTTGGTGCCTGCCTCCTGCCTCCTGCTGCCTGCTGCCTGGTGCTTGGGGAGTGAAGGGGAGGGGCTGCTGCCACCTGCTGAAGAACAAATGAGGCAAAGGGCACAGGGCACAGGGACAGAGGCCAGAGTTCAAAGCGACCAAGAGCAGATGCTGGCTGGAAGGCTGGATGGCTACCTGGCTGGCTGGATGCTGGCTGGATGCTGGATGGATGCTTCAATGATTCCTGCTGGCAGGCACGGAACGAGATGGTGCGGCATCAGAGGCTGCCTGACTCCTCTGTGTCTATCCTTCTCCATCCTGACATCCAACGGCAACGGTAACGATTTCCAAAGTATTAAATAACTTCGTAATTTAATTAACTTTGACGTCGGCATTGCCGTCTGCGTTGCGCCGCTTAACTTTGATTAACGTTTTGCAATTTTTCAACAAGTTTCTCCAGAACTTCTGCCGCACATCGAGGCAGCGACACGCCACGCCCAGGGTGTCGTAGTGGCAGAAGAGTGCCAGACTGTAGCCAAAGGATTGTGACCATGATTTCTTTGGCAAGCTCAGATTACAAGGGATTTTCAGTCAGTGCCGAGAGAGAACGCACTTTGCTCCCATATCCCTATCAACTACCGAGCTGCCAGACGGGGGGAAATTAATGCAATTAGGGTTGGAATAGGGTTTGGGGCTGTGCCAGGCACTGGGGCTGGGGCTGGGGCTGGGGCTGGGAAATCCTCTTGGATGACAAGCCAATATATTCAGTTTGGATGGGTTATGCCAGATGAACCATAAGCAGAAGATTGCTTGTTGAATTTTGGCCATTAAATTGATTCAATAAATAACTCTAATGATATGGAAACATGACGCATGCCCTGCTGTCTGCCTTGCTTTCCCTTCGAGTTCCACCCAGCCGCTTTTCCTCATCATTTTCCCTCATCATTTAGTCATCAGCTTTGAATTGGTTACAACATTTCCCGCCGTTGATGATTCTATTTGGCCCGAGAGAGGCAGACGAGTGGCAACAACAGAATTTTACACACAATTTGACTTTGATATTGTGCCAGGGTCGGGGTGGGGCACCACATGGTTGGGGCGGGGCACAGCACAACGGCCGGGCAGGGCAGGGGGCAAAGATCAGACGTCTGGGGCGAAGGAAGAGAATGAGTGCTGCCAAAGCGCCGGCTGCTTGCAGGCCAAATTCTGTTGCCAAATTTTCTTCTTCGAGCCATTAAAATGCATAAACACAAACGAGGAACGGCAAACGAATTTGTAAAAAAAAAACCAATAAAAATGAAATTACAATTTTTGTGGGTAAATGTGCAATAACACACACAGACAGAGATAGCCCTCACAGACACAGAAAGAGAGATGAGATGATGGGTGGATGGGTGATGAGCAGCTGGGAAAAGAGAGAAAGACGGGCCGAAGAAAGGCCAGCAAATGTTTAACTGAAAAATTGTTGTTTAGATGCCATCATGGTTTTGTTGCTTTTGTGGCCAATTCCGTTTTGTCATTTTAACCCAGTTAACCCATGCTGGCCCCTGTGTCACTCCAGTGCGTGTGTGTGTGTGTGTGTGTGTGTGTGTGTATTTATGCCATGTTTGTTGTTGTTTCCATTGGCCATAAAATGGCTTTGGCATTTTTTGGTTTATTCAGATAAAATTCAATTCAAAATGAAAACGAGTCTGAAAATTATGGCAGCTTTGAATATGATTTCGCTACTCGGCCTCCGCTCCTCCGCTCCGCCGCTCCTGTAGGCTTTCTATTCAGTTTTGTATACCCTGCAAAGAGGTTTCATGACTTGAGGCAGAAGTTTGCCAGGCAATAAAATGTGAAGCATCTTTCTTCAATTAAAAAGCAGACGTGCTTGATATATATTTTTAACTCTTTCAAATTTAATCCTTATAGAATCCCTCCATCCATAGTAGGGAAGCATCTGATCTGTTAGGGTAGCACACGCCTCGACCCTTGCGGATAGTTTTTCCTTCGTTTTTTACACTCATGCCTTTTTTTTTGGGCCTGCAAAGAGGTCAACGTATGGGTAGGCGTGGCATGACCTGAGGCCATATAGTTTTTGATTTATATATTTTATTTGATAAACATACAGCCGCATCGTTGGTGGGCAGGAAAGCAACAACAACAACAACAACAGCAACAGCAACAGCAACAAAAAATGGGAAAGAACGAACGGAAATCCAAACGAACAGCAGGAGGCGGCAGTGGGACGGAACGGAACGGAATGGGATGGGATGGGATGGTACAAAAAAAAGAGAAGTCGAGAGTTCTGTCATAAAGTTTACATTTTCATTTCCGTTCACAGGGACATCTGTGTGTGTGTGGAGTGTGTTTGCATATGTGTAAGTGGGTCTGCAAGTATGTGTTTCGGCCATGTTATCTTGTTTACTTGTGAAGCCCCTCGACGCAGAGCAGCAACAGCGACAGCAGCAGGCAATTTTTCATAAATCTTTTCCAGGCTGCCCCCCCCTCCACCGGCCGGCTGCAGCCCCCTCCCTTAGGGGCCACAATTTTTACAGCTGCATTTAACCTTTTTCTCTTGACATTCAGTTTAAATTGTATGCCTTTTTGGACCATAAAAAAGTTCCTTATGCCCCAGCGATGCTCATACGACCCGTTGTCTGATACGAGAGCCGTACAAATTGCTACCTTGTTATAATTATGATGTTTTTACGGTTAACAAGAGACCGAAGGAGGGGGAAAAGGGCAGAGACGCAACTCTCTTAAGCAAATCAATTCAAGTTCACGCTTCTTATTTATTTATGTATGCGAGGAGGTATTTTCTTCTCTTTTCTTTTTGCGGCGCGTGTGTGAAATTTCACTTTCTTTTCTTCTGGGTTTGCGGCTTCTCCCTTGCTGGAGGAGGGAGGGAGGCGTGTTGGGTTCGCCCTTGGTTTATTTGGTTTTTATTATCCAGCGACAGGCTACAAAGGAAAAGCGCTGAGGAAAAGGAGGGAAAACGAAGCGCATGTTTGGCATCTTGTTCCTCGCTGCCGCTCATGTTATTTATGTTGTCTGCCACACAGTGGCAGAGGCAGTGGCAGAGGCAGAGACGTAGACGGACACACACACACACACACACACACACACTTTCCTGAGAGGGGAAAATAAAGAAAAAGTGCCCGTAAATCGCTCTCTTTTCGTGTTTAGCATGAGAATTTCTCCGAGCTTCAGACCCATTGGGGAATTACAAATTTCCACAGAACAAGAAAGCAAGAAAAAGCAACTCTACTACGAGGGACATTCCGGGAAACTGTAACAGAACGGCGGAGATGTGTGTTGTGTGTGGATATGATTGGTGGGGAAAATGAAGTCATTTCCCCTACATTCTGTACGAATTTTTGGCCTGAGAAATAGTTTGGGCCACTGACATCCCTCTTGGCCCATTTGTACGTGTTTTTGGCACGTTCGTCTGCTTTATGGCCGCTTGATTATGTAGCCCAGGCCCAGGCCCAGGCCCAGGCCCAGGAACTGCCCGAAACACCTAACACCAAGCCCCAATCCAGAACCAGAGGGGCTTTCTCCAGTGCTTTCTCCGTGCCGTTTGTTACTCGATATTATGGCGGCTATATAAAGACAAGTGTATGCTCGTACAACATTATATTTTTAGCATCGCTTTACGTGCGTAACGTGTTAAAAATAAAACACAACACACACAGTCGCTGGCACATTGCGTATCCGCCAGGGGGTCCTCGCCCAAACGATGCTGCCCCGCCCATGGCGGCTTAATTAAATTGATTGAATTTGATTGCCATCAGTGGCATAGAACGGCAGTTTACGAGTACGCGTATTCCCAGCAATTTGCCGCACTTTTGCCGAATGCAACATTGCCAGACAGATAGACAGAAGAGAGAGAGAGGGGGGAAGCAATTACAATTTCCCTTGGCTCACCTGTCAGTGCAGGCTTCTCCTCCCTTTCCCCTCCATCCATCTACATGGCTATCTCCGACAACACTCAATTATGCAAATGTTTAGCTCCACGCGGGACACACTCGCAACTCGCAACTCGCAAAAGGCTGCCATTTCGGCATTTCGGCAAAATGCATTTCCAATTGAATTAATAAACCCCCTCCCGAGAAGAAGGCTGTCTCCGTCTCCCCTTGCTCCTGCAGCCACTGCTGCATCCAAATGAAAATGTTTTCTAAATACCTAATGTGTTTATAATGCCAGAGACGTGGCAGCGTGAAGATATTCCACGAGCAGCAGCATGTCAGAGTAACAACAGCCACTGCGAGTGCAACCTTGTCTTGGCTTTGCTTCCGTCAGGGGCCCTGTCTCATTAGCTCGTCTCATTGCCAATTTATGCATTCTAAGTGTGTTCTAAGTTCTAAGAGTGCTTAGAGAAAGCCCCCCCTCCACACACATTCACGACAATGGAACGGATAAGTCAGCTCATTTGCCAGGCCAAAACCCATTCTGTGGGTTTTCCATTTCAAAATCCAAGCCAGAGAGAAAACACGCGGCAAGCAGCAGAACAATGGCTCTGTTGCACCAAAACGAGACATGAATGGGGCAAGGGCAGGCAGCGCAAGCGCAGGCGCAGCAGTAGCAGTGGCAGTGGCAGCGGCAGCATCTCGGGTTCCACTCACTCAAAAGGTAACTCATTTTGCTTCATTTTGGCCTAGAAGAAAGTTTCCGCAAACTTTTTATTGTGTTTTCAGGAAGAGCGGATGGGCAGAGGGGAAGCTAACCAGCCACAAATCATTATAAACCACTAAGGAATGCGCTATTTATGGTGATGCTTGGTGTTACTTGAGATACCCTAGCAGATCTAATGTTACTAAATATGGTCATAGTTTTGCTTCTTCCCATTTCGGCATTGCAAACCCCTACTTATATTCGAAATAATCCTCTGATAGAG